TTTTTATCTCTTTTTTAAAGACTACTTCAGATAACTTAAATATATCCAAATCAGAGTATTGTTCATTATAAATTTTAACTGATCGCGTTAAGATGGAATTTTTGGCATATTGGGTTTTAGTAGGAGGTACATATAGCAAGGGTGTATGGCGCGTTCGCTGCTTTGGAACCTGAAAGGATATGTTTGATAGAAGTTCAGGGCAATCAATCTTATTGTTTAATATTGCGTGCAGCAGTTTCATATCGCTTTGTGCTCGTCTACTTTCGAGTGTTTCTATATGATAATATTCATATGCATCACGATCTGTATCAAAATTTTTATAGTTTTTAAATTGTAAGTATTTTACAAATACATTTTGAATTTTTTCGATTCTCTGTATATCTGATTTATGATAAGGTGACCAAATACTACTGGCATATTCTAGTAGACTTCGTATGTATGCAAAATAAAGCATTTTGATACATTCTATATTTTTAAAACTAGAGGTTGCACGCTTAATAAACCCGAGTTGTTTATAAGCCTTGTTGATTATAATTTCATAATGTTCGCTAAATGTTAATTTTTGGTCTAATGTAATACCTAAATCCTTCACTGATGAGACCTTGCCAATTGTTGCTCCGTTAATACTGTAAGTGTGGTCAATAGGTTTAAGTTTTCGGGTAAACGTAATATGATGACATTTATTAATATTTATCGTTATTCTATTTGTCTCATAGTAGGTAGCTAGCCTATTTAAGTCTGCTTGTACTTTTTTGCAATCTTCAATAGTACGAACTCTGAGGAATATTTTCTTGTCATCAGCAAACATCAGGAAGCGAGAGTGCTTAAAGCAGTTACTTATGTCAAATAAGTATGCGTTATATAAAAGAATAGATAGTTGAATAGATAGTCGATCCCTTGCTTTGTGAATAGCAAAAAAAAACTATCCCCCGGGAACTGTACATTTTTGGAGATAAAAAGTAACCTATATGCCATTAAATTCAAATACGTTCAACCATTCTGGCGTGATTGAGTAACAAACATCCATCCATCCAAACTTTCGCATTTATAATATTTATTATGAGATTCTACTATATTTTTATTTTTATTATTTAATATAGATTATACAGAAGTGCCAGAAACATTCTCACAAATAACTCTTGATTATAATTTATTTCAAGAACGCAAAACTAAATTCGTACCCCATACCATGATGAAGTATTACTGTTTACATCACTATAGTTGACGAAGGGATTCAAGAAGCTATGAATAATAATAAGGAGTAAAAGAAGGGTTAGCGATTCAAAACAAGCGGGTGCGGCGATAAATAAATTCGTCCTTTCGGAAGTATATTCGGTAGCAGATCAAATGGGTATCTATAAATTTTATAGATTTTGTTGTGACTGAATAATATATGTAATTCTTGAATTCTTGTCCCATTCACGTTGTTAATAATAAAAAAATATTATTAATACTTTATCGATCGAGTCGATTTATGTAATAGTAATATTTGATATTATTAACAATTTATTTGTTTTAAATATATTTGATAGTTTTAAAGCTTATCAATATCTTCTTTAAATTACTTGCATAAAAAAATGATAATTTTATGTATTTGAACGGATGATAGAAATATTGCTTAAATAATTTATCTTTTTTTTAATCAAAATGCTTATTCAGATACATAACTAGCATGCACTCGATACGTTCCGTGCACATCACTACTCGGCTTGTGGCGAAAGATAGAACCTTGTTTTATTGATTTTCCCGATCCCTGCCAGTACCACGGGTCGAGCGAACATTGTGCACGGTTAACTTACTTAAATTTACCGTTGGGCATTTTATTTCTATAACCCGGTAAAAATATTTCGAGTTTGCATTGCAATATTGTAAAATACAAATATTGTACCCAGTCCGCGATTTGCCCTTGTGTAAAGAATATGTGGATGTAAATGAGAAGTAAGTAAAAATGGATGTTGTGCAATAGTTGGAGTACCTTTTTCTATAAAAATACATAGAGATATATTAATTAATAACGTTATGGACTTAGTGGTTTTGCACGAAATAGATTTTTTATTAATATCCAAATATTGAATTTTATTAATATCGAATTTAAAATAATACATGTCACAAGTGATCCGAAATAATGACTTACATTTATTGCAATTTCCATTTTTTATACTTAATTTGCAATACTGAATGAAGTTACAGGTAATAAATCAACTAAATCATAATATTAAATTAAGAATTTACTTTAATTTAAACTTTAATTTAATTAATGACATTACTGAATGAAGATATAGGTGATAAATCAACTAAATTATAATATCAAATTAAGAATTTACTTTAATTTAATTAATGGAATTACTGAATGAAGTTATAGATGATAAATTAACTAAATCATAATATCAAATTAAAAATTTACTTTAATTTAAAATTTAATTTAATTAATGGCAACACTGAATGAAGTTACAGATAATAAACCAACTAAATCGTAATATCAAATTAAGAATTTAAGCAAACAGACTAAAACTGTAAATATCAAAATTGCAAAGGATTTTCCTGAGTCTTCATCATGTTGATGATGAACTTAATACTGATGTTTCATCTACGTATGTATAAGTGAAAATCAAAATATTGCCTTGTTTTTACAAGTATATTAAAGAATTAAACGATTTCAATATGAAAACCATCCATAAGTAAAAAAATGTATTTGGTAATAATAACTTTTAAATAAAAGTCACTATTATCTAAGTTTCTAACCTTCACTTATTACCTAATCTTTGTAAAAAAAAACAAAAAAATAGAGAAGTTCTAAAAATATCTACTATTGTAATTTGTAACTTTATAAAAGTTTGAAAAATATTACGACTACAAGTTGATAATAATAGTAACCTTGCCGTCAAGTGTTGCTACGAAATTGCTCCGTATTTCATTCATAATTACAAGTAATAAATGAAATTTATTTTGTCTGATATAAATACGCTTGTTACTAGGTACATTTTATAAGTATAAAATAGCGAATTTTTGTTTAATTCATTGCAAAATATATTTAATATTAAAAATTGCAAGCTCTTAAAAAGATTAGGTTTATTAATTTTGTTTCTTGATCGATCAACATAATTTTGTCCAAATCCGAGAAAAACTTTGGTCTACTATTTTTAGAATTCCAATGACAAATTTTACACTTTCTTATTTTTGCCTTTTTATCAGACTGCTGCGACTGATTAATTATCGGCATTTCAGGCACCAATTGGTGTTTTGGACAAACAAATTCAAATTTTGGTCACAAAAATGTATACAACTTAAATGCTTGAAAGCAATTTGGGATAAGACATTGTTCAATAAAACTCCAAATGTCTAACTGGCCAAAACTGTAGGTATATAGCTGTAAATAAAAATAAAATTATTCCCGACTGCGTATTGAAAGCGAACTAAAAAGAGAGAAACAGGTTAACGAAGGAACATACTAGGCAGTCCGACATACTTGTTTTATCCTTGCTGCAAATCTTGCTACGTGTGTGTACATATGTCTCCGACTGTATAGTACATAATACTACATACATATTTTCCTTCGTTAACCTGTTCCATTATTTTTAGTTTAATTTTTACGCAGTCAAATTTTATTTTAAATTTTTTTTATAGTACAACTTCTGTTAAATTCACGATGTGGGTTTTAAGAGTGTAAAGACAGAGGTTTAAATTATGTCTAAAGCATTTAGTTGGTATAATATAAACAAAAAACGACCTTCAAACTTATAACCTCTACTATAATATAGATGAATATTTTATTGGTGCATAAATGTATTGTGTATTTCAAGAAAATACAGTTAACGGATATAACAAGGTCTTATAAACAATTAAACTAATTAAATATTAGCATGAATACCTATAGATCAAATCATATGTTCGTTATGCAATCAACTACCGTTGTATTAACCACTAGCCCATCCGTGCGATGAATTGAGTCATGGGAATCATATCAGGTGTTGTATCTTCATTACACACCTTAACGATAATGGAGTAAAATAATATAGTACATATTATGCCCAGATAAATTAGAGACAGAATAATAAAAAGCGACTTCCAGATACTAAAGAGTAAAAACTAACTAAAAGGGGGCTTACATTTACTATAGATACCTATTCAGATATCGAAATCTATAGGTAATTTTTATAACATAAATAAAATAAAATTCTAGATGGATAATTTACAATTTGAATTTCTATTTAGTATCCTGTGGAAATTTCATATTCCCTGAAATATTGTGTCGTAGAAAATCATACTATAATATCATAATAATTTATACCTACTTTAATAATATTAATAGGAGAATAGTAACATAATAGTTTCCTCAAAATATATAAAAAGTAAGTACTACACAGTACAAGTTATCGTAATATTTAAACAATTTTGAATAAAACGTAACAATTTTTATTAAATGGCCACAATTTACAAATCGAAAGTCAATAGAATCTAATTATTTTGATTTTTATATTTTTGATTGATATAAATATATATTGTCTATTATATTAAATTATTGATCTATTTATTTAGAGAAATATATACCTAATATATTAGGGCGCTGTAGCGTAGTTTGTGTTATAAATAACACACTATAACAATAATTTGTAAACATATAGTCAACTTTTATATTTTAGTAATATTACTTTTTGCTGGTTTTAAATGTATAAAACATATTTATTGATTTTTAACAACTTAGTTTTTTGCATATGATAAAAAATTACCATTTTGGCAGATTCGCTTATTCTTATAATTGTTAAAAAATAATTCTAATAAATTATAAAATATATTTATTATTTGGTAAACAAATAAAATTACTATCTGAAATCTTGTACATATTTGAAAATCAGCTCTACATTTTTTTTTAATATACATAGTAAATGTGATAACCTCATTAAATAGTTTTTTTAAATCCCCAGCTAAGGGTGGAATGTGTTTTACGATTATACTTAAAGGCGTCTTCAATTTTCTATATACATATATGTATGTGTGTTTAGGGTGCAAATACAAACAACGGACGCGGCGGTCACACTTCAACAGAGGATGACATGGTAGACATTACGCCGGGGCCGCATCGAGCGGCCGAAACATCCACGCCTACGAATCACGGAACTTTTCAGCTCTACGAACATAGCGGCAGGAATAGCAACGCCAGCGCTAATTGTAAGTAAAAACTAGGTTTTATAAGTGTATGCCAGTAGTTAAATTTATATAAGATCATCTTTTTATTTACAGAGTTTCAAAATTAATATAGTATTAAGTTAATTATTTACTATACAAAATTTTAACATATAAAATTTTTTACTTACAAAAGATTAAAAGCTATTATATTATTTTATGACTAGTATATATTTATTCGACTCAATTGGCAAACTAAATTTCGGCCTGATACTACACTTATTATTGTCCGATATTGTTAGACTACAATAGAGTAGATGCTTTATAAACATTCTTAAGTAATCTAATATCGATAGTTTATATAGGAAGTAAATTAATATATTTTTTTACTTTTAAGCGTACATCGCTCAGTACTTCAGCTCATCAGCCGGTAAGAGACTCGCCGGAAACGTATTAGTTCTGCATACTTATTGCAAATATGTATAATCCGTAGCTTATTAAACTCTTTGCTTTTTGGTTTAACAAAAGCTGCAGTAAACATTTTATGTTTGTAAGTGTTTGAGTAGGTATAATATAGATTGATAGATAATAATAGTATAATACATAGTTTGATTTCCTATGATATGATACAAATTACATTCACAAATCACAAACACATGCTAGTTAGGCAAATAGAGTAAACGGAATGCGTAGTATTACTATTAATATAGTAATTTTAAGTCTTTAATAAGTTCTCGTCCATTTCTTAACTTTTTTACTAGATCCCCGTTCCATCTGAAAATTGTATCTGGGGGCCTTTACTTAAATCATTTTCATCAATATATATATATATATATATATATATATATATATATATATATATATATATATATATATATATATATAATAAAATTATAACTGATCGCTGCCTGTACTTGGAGGAAGTTGGAGAAGATAAATTAATTATTAATGCAATAGAAATCGAAACAATGATTTTTAGAATTTTTGTCTGTCTGTCTGTTACCGCATCACGGATAAACCACTGAAACGATGATGATAGCTGGTTATCCGGGTCAACATATAGGATACTTTTTACTGCGGGAAAATATCTCATCTCTGAGAAATCTATACTAAACGTTAAAACGTAAGCAAGAACGAATCCGAGCGGAGCGAGGGTGAGTTGCTAGTTATTTAAAAATTATTACTTTATTACTTATAAAATAAATTATTATTATTAGATTCGGCCTCTGTATCGATAATAATGTCTATTTCAATAAGATTTTCAAAAAAATATTTAATGTACAGATTCGGCTTAGTTACAATTTTATTATATGTATAGATGTAAAAAAACGTACCTCAGTTAATCTCAATGATACAAAAAAATACTTCGAAAAAATTATAAAAACAACTTTCATTACTTATATTTACAATTAATCAATACTGAAAGAAAACAAATCTATCCCATGGGAACCGTGCTTTTTCCCGGATAAAAGTAGCCTAATGTTATAATTAAAAACACATGAATAATTTTTATTTGTATCGATATAAACCACTTGTTGTGTATATGGAAATACCGGAATAGATAGATGTCTTCAATATAGACATTACTTCACACTATACTAAAGGGAGATTTAACGACTAACTTCATACTGTAGTCTAATGCTGTTGCATGGTAAACGAATTACTCATGATTTTTCCCCTAATGCGCCAAAAGAAGTATAGCTTCAAAAATGTAGATTATTTACTGGGGAAAGTAATTTATTTACTGGGGAAAGTAATTTATTTACTGGGGTGTTTTTGACTAATTGTATTAAACATTTCATTTGCATGGCTCCATACATGTAATCTGATAAAATTTAATTGAATACAATATTAAGGTTATACTAACTTTTACTAACGGCTTATAACAAATAACAAAATCTAATTGTTTTTTGAATGTATTTGTAAGAACTTAGACATACGTATAAATCTCATCAACATCAAATTACCTGTATATTTTAACTACCGGCTCAACCTCGCTTCGCTCGGCTTCACCTCTAGAAAAGCACAGACAGATCTATCCCACGGGAACCGTTCATTTTTTGGGGATAAAAAGTAACCTGTTGTTTAACCGGTAAAATAAGGTATCAGCATGCCAAATTTTACTAAATTAGGTGTATAAGTTGTTGTGTACTAAGCTGTATAAGTTACTATAGTTTTTTAACTATCCCACGGGAACTCTTTAATTTTCTGGGATGAAAAGTATCTTAAACGTTGAACGTGGATATATGGTACCATCATGTAAAATTTCATTTAAATCGGTCCAACAGTTTCGGAGACTAGCCCGTATAAACGGACAAACAAACACGCAGGCAAACAGACAAAGTGTTCAATAACTATTGTTGTAGGGTCTATATTGTGTACATAATACGTTATAAACAAAAACAAATTTATCCCACGGGAACCGTACATTTTTCCGGGATAAAAAGTAGCCTATTTGTTATTGTGATGTATGAACTATATTATTGTAAAGTTTCATTAAAATCCAATTAGTAGTTTTTATGTACTAAGCTGTATAAGTTACTGTAGTTTTTTAACTATCCCACGGGAACTCTTTAATTTTCCGGGATGAAAAGTATCTAAGATGTTGCCCGGGGATATAAGGTACCACCATGCAAAATTTCATTTAATTCAGTCCAATAGATTCGAAGATTAGCCCGTACGAACAGACAAACAGATATACAGACAGAGAAACAAAAAAATTGAAAAAAATCTGGATTTGTTCTATTTCTCTTCTTACACCCCCTGACTAGGTTTTTAGGATTTTTTTTCTATATACAGACATTCGACCTTAACAGTTTTATTATAGTAGAGATGAAGAGAGCAAACAAAAAGTAGAGTTGCTCCGTTTCGCGCATTAAAATGCTAAATATAACATTATAATTATGTTTATAAAAATAACAAACACTTACCCTCGCTTCGTTCGGATGCGTCCTTAGGTACATTTTAATTTTTTCCCTAATTTTTTTTCTAAAATAAATGTAGCATAAGTTACTCCTTATAACATCAGCTATCTGCCAGTGAAAGTCCCGTCAAAATCAGTCCATTCACTTTGGATATTAGCCGGAACAAACAGATAGACACAAAATTAAAAAAAATGTGTTTTTTATTGAGTACCGTATATAATTTCATAAGCATTTAGTAAAAAACTGGTATATTGACATTATAAACAGACTATTTATCTGTATAGATCGTAGATAAGAAAATGTCAATTTTTCATAATACAGGATAGATAATATATATACGATTTACAATGAAGTATCGCAAGATAATTTGTTAGAGAATAATTAATACTGCAGCTATGTCGTTGAGACTTGCTTGATATTTTCCTTTCATAATTCATTCAAGATATGGTTTTTAGCCAACTTCAAAAAAGGGTAGGTTCTCAATTCAATAGGTAGCACATACAAATAATAGTATTTTATTAATATTAAAGGTATTAGGTTTGTATAAGAGATGTATGTATTAAATTAAATTTTTATTAAGTTATTTTATACTTTTTAGTTTTTGAAGTCGGTTTTTTAAACGTAGTTTAACAAATAAAAATTTGTTTTAATACTGTCATCGATTTTTTAATTTCATTTTAAGCGTTATTCAATATAACCAATAATATAATATTTTAGTATATAATAATAATTGACTTTACCTACATTGCCAACAAGAGGCTCGGTTTCGGCAAATTATCATAGTACATATAGTTAATAATCATTTATCTACAAAATAATACCATTGCATGTTTATTATACTAAGGTGTTCCTCTGAATGGTAGTAGTTTAATATTTGAGCATGGCAACCTCGAAATGTTTTTGACAAGACACAAATTGACGTTTCATTGCTTGCTTACTCGTCACCTATCTTTTTATAACGATTTGGTTCATTTTCTTTTATACTAAGTTTTATTGACAAGGAATTATTTCTTTCCATTACTTCCTTCATTATTATTTTAACGTAAACAATTTTTTGCAGTATATAAAAAAAGCAATAATCTGCCGACTGTGATAATGCAAGTGCCTTTCGCTGTGTTTAAAATTAAATAGTTAATATATTTACAGGGGACGCAGTTATATTCTCAGGAATGCAAGGTATGTTTAAATATTGTTTTTGCTTTTTATATATTAGTATACCACTGCACTCATTCATCTATTTTTCTCTAAATATTGTAAAATATTTCGTAAAAGTAGATAGTTTTTTTTGTATACATAACATTTTGTCATTATAACATTAATTATTATTATTTTTCATGTTAATTAAACTAGTTCGGATTTTTATAATTCGGAGTACTGTTTTTACATATATTATGAATTTGATAAAACTTTATTGCAATTATAACAAGGTCAGTCACATGACTGTTATTAATTGAGGAAAATATTAGACTGTACCCAATTTTCTCACTTATTTATGTTTGAAATGTTAGATAGTATATAAAAATGTGTTTCATGCATAAATTGTACAACTAATTGTAGCAGCAATAAATTGAATGTTATCGATTTTTTAATAAGAATGCAATTAATTTTGAATTATAAATTAGTAATTAACATAGCAGGTTTGAGGTGATTGCCATTAATTGCTGAATAGCTCACTATCAATTTTATTATTTTATAGGCAAATAGTAAATACCCATGTAATTTGTGATATTTATTATTATCGAAGTGTTTTTGATACTTAGAAAATTGCTGATTTTACCTAATGTTTTGTTCATATCTTTGGTGTTGTTAAAGCTTATCATATGTATAATCCGATTCATACAATATAATGGAAAGTTTTAGAATAGATGTTGTCAGATAACAACATTGTTATATTTATTTTTAATTAAATCCTACATAAATTTAACAAAACGATTGATGGTACATTTTTTAGCAAAAAAAAAAATTTTAAAAGAAAGCAATTAATAGATTTTATTTTTTTTATCATTGATTTGATTGATTGACATAATGTCTTCATATTTCCTTGAATTTAAATTGTGGTATAGAAATAAATCATTTTTTTTAGGGTTTGTACCTCAAAAGGTAAAAAAAGGAACCCTTATAAGATCACTCTCTTTTCTCGTCTGTCCATGTGTCTGTCTGTGTGTCATCACTGATTTTCCTAGCTAGTTAAAATTTATACCAGATACTGAGATCTATTGTCCCTATTAGATGTATAAAATCAAGGTCCTGAGTCAACACGATAAAAAGATATGGGCAAATTCAAATTTTCGTGAAAACTTGTAAGTACCAAAATTTACCTTAATTCTCAACTTTTTTCATGTTTCGGAATTTTCCCTTTACTTGTGCTGTAAGACGTTGCTTTTAACCAAAATTGAAAATTCAACTAGTTTTGGTCGAAAACCTATATGGTAGTTCCCATTACCCTAGAATCACGAAATTTGGCAAAAAGCAGCACAAACAAAGGAAAAATTCCAAAAAATAAAAAAAGTTGAAAATTAAAGTTAAACAGATTTCCTACAAATTTTTATGGAACCCTCGGTGGGCGAGTCCGACTCACACTTGTTATTATTGTGGTATATAAAAAACCAAGAATACATTGTTTGCATTGCCAGACTATAAATTTTATTTTAAGTAAATGTAAAATTATGGCAATGATATTATTTTTTTAAAATTGACTTTTCTAGAAAGAGACAGACAAAAGTTTAGTCATAATTATTGACAAAACAATACTCTTAATTATTAAAAAAAATTAATTATAGCAAAAAAATCCAAACTTTTCATTCCTCACAAGATAGCCTGTGCTCTTCATATCATAATATAAATCACAGATCACATAATACTAGTACACATGTCTCATCCCATATGAAGTAATTGGGCAGCCATAATTGGGTTATTCTTAGAGCTATTTTTGTTTGCTTGTTTAGATAATAGATGTCATTGATTTGCAAATAGTCGAACTGTTTTCTATTCTACTCTTCTAAAGAGGAAAAAATTGTTTGTTTCTATCAAATAGGCTCTGAAACTACTGAAACGATATAGATGAAATTTGGTAAGAAGATAGTTTGAGACCCTGGAAAGGACACAGGATAGTTTTTATTTCGGAAATTATCCCTTAAGGGGGTGAAAATAGGGATGAAAATTTTGATGGGGAAGCAACCTAGGAAAAACAAATGTGAGTCACTAGTATATCATAAATATGTGCAAATCAACATATAATAAATATAGTAAAATTAATCCTGCATTCAGTAACTAAGATTTACGGATTTTAACAATTTTTAAACGTGATAAACAACTCATAAAAAGTTAAAATGCCATCTGTGAATGTGCACTACAAAACTATCATCTGATTGCTGATATATCTATAATCGTAAATAATAAATTTATGCTTTGATTTACTGTGCATTGTTTCGTTATGTCAGTTAGAGTATTTTCTGGGATATATATTTTTTTAATCTTTTGTTAATTTAACGTAACTTAATAACAAATCAAAAACTATAGACATTTATTTGAATTAATCTAATTTTTCTTTTTTTGTGATGAGCCCCCATGTATAAACTAAGAGTAAAATTTATGTACATGTAACAGTACATGATAATAATAAAAGTTTCAAACAAGAAATTGTTGAGATTGTTCATTACCAGAATGAATATTTTAGGTTTATTTTTTTTATCTTCTATGGGTTCAGCTTACTTTGTATTATCTTATTAATATTATAAATGTGAAAGTTTGGATGGATGTTTGTTACTCAATCACGCCAGAACGGCTGAATGAATCCGCATGAAATTTGGCCCAGAGATAGATTAATTATATACAGGGTCATTTTTAATTTACTGAAAACCTTTTGGGAATACACTATTTACAACATAACAACAACATCTGTTTATGTTTATTTAATAACAACATCTGTAAGAAAAACAATATATCTTAAATTTAACAAAAATCAAAATATTTTTATTGCATTTTCTCAACGGTAATAGTCCAGCATTAGCAAAAGAAAGTGCGTGTCCGGTGGAGGGGGAGGGGTGGAGGGGTGTAGGAAGCCAGAAAAATGTAGGGATCCTGTGGGATAGATTGGTTGGGTTGTTGTAGATAGGGTGAGCTGCTAGTTCATACTTCTAATATTTATATAAATATCTCGTGTACGGGTTATCCGAAATGGCTCAACCGATTTTAATGTTTTTTTTTTGTATATTTAGTAGGTATGATTATAGGTTCTTATGTATTTTTCAGCCTCCTATCCTCCGAATTTTAGTCGCGATTTTTGTATGAACAATCTTCTCCTATTTATATAAATAAAAATGAATGTTGGTAAGCGCATAACTCAAGAATGTTTGGACCAATTTGGCTAAAAATTTTTTCGTATTTTCCTTAAGGTCGACGGAAGGTTTTAATAAAGAGAAAAAATAGTAATTAACGAAAAAAATTAAAATTTATATGGCTAACGCTGGCTAATAACTATTTATATCTATTTTAAACGTACCTAGCGACGAACATGAGCGAAGCGAGGCTGAGCCGCTAGTATTATGTAAATATATAGCGGCGAATCCGAGCAAAGGGAGGGTGAGACTATAACATAAAGCTAAAGAGTTTTATTTGTAGTTTGAACACGAGCCTGGCTGCGGGTTCAGCTAGTAATATTATAAATGTGAAAGTGTGTTTTAAGGGTTCTGTACCTTAAAAAGAAACCTTATAAGATCACTCTCTTGTCCGCCTCTCCGTCTGTCTGTCTGTCCGTTTGTCGCCACCGATTTTCTCAGGAACGGGTGGACCCTAGCAAGTTGGAATTTATACCAGATACTGTATATAGTCCCTATTAGATGTATAAAAATCAAGGTCCTGAAAAAATATTTTCGAAAACTTGTAAGTACCAAAATTTACCTTCATTTTAACTTTTTTAATTTTTCAGAATTTTCCCTTTACTTGTGCTGTAAGACGGTGCTTTTACCCAAAATTGACAATTCTAGGTCAACCAGAAGTACGCTTTAGGTTTTGGGTCGAAAACCTATATGGTAGTTCCCGTTGACCTCGAATCACGAAATTTGGCAAAAAATAAGGTCTTACAGCACAAATAAAGGAAAAAATCAGGAAAATAAGTATAGTTGAAAATGAAAGTTAAACAGATTTCCTACAAATTTGTACGCAACCCTCGATGGGCGAGTCTGTTTATTATAGAGTTTATTTGCCCCTCTTTCACGCTGAAACAGAGTAACAGATTGGCGTGGTTTTTGGTACACAGGTAGATGGAGGGATGGAGAGTGACATAGGTTACTTTTTCCCGCGGGAGATTATCTCATTCCCACGGGAAAACACGTTATAATTCAACCCAAAAAATATTTATGATCAGAACAACTTGAAACTTGGTATTAATGCTCTTCAATACTATTAAATAAATACTTGTTTTAGTATTTTTCGTATTTCATCATGAGGGGGTAAAATAGATGAAAGTTTGTATAAAATCTAGGATAGATTTAGAGTTTTTTGTAGTTTCTGCTAGTAAAGGATAATTTAACAAGAAAACATTGCTAGGATCCCTATCATCAATAAAAGTAACACAACATTATGTTATGTAATACATTCTACAAGTTTTATATATAAAATCAATACTCAATATCTGTGTGTATCAGATTGCGCGTCATGCGCGATTGCATCGAACTACAGATTGCAACTTGCCGCCGTGACACGCCAACAATTGTTTATCTCCCATTCACAACAATAATTTCAGGCAATTTACTGATTTCTAATTTCTTCAATTGTGCACAGTGCAGTTGCATTTTTTATTATAAAGTTGGCTAAGATCGAAGCTTGGGCTTTTTTAACAGAATGTGTGAAGTTCAAAAATTACATAAAAGAAGTTGAATATTTGGAAGGAAAGCTACTTTGTTTACTTTAGCTTTGTAGACAGAATAGTTTTTCTTAAATTTAATAACAGTTAATTAATATCTGTTACTTTTATCATAGTGCAATTATTTATATAAGGTATATTAATTATTTAACATTAGACGTAGCAGAATGAATTGCATATGTTGCAATATGCATGAAATATAAACTTGTTGCAGGCGACACAGACGACATCCCCGGGATCGGGCAATATGACGACTTCCACACGATCGATTGGCAAAGGGATATAGCGCGCGATCGGATGCGCCATAGGCACATAGTGAAAAAACGCCAAGACTCTATCTGGGATCTCATAAAAGTAATTATCATTAAATATATATACATCAAATTATAAATCGATGAAAGTAAACCTTCATAAAATATTCGTAAGTTTATTGGTTTTGTTATTTTTGTTGTCTTACCTGTTGCTGTGTCTATTAGATTTTAGTGGGTTAGAGAGTTTGCTATCTAATTAGCCTTAATATCTATAATAAGGGCTTAAAACATTCATATTGTTTCCTTTTCCTTTCACTATTTTAATGTGAAAGTATTACTCTTTACTTATTAACTTATAATTTATAATATTTCTTTAACATATTCTTTTTGGAATAGTATGTTAAAAGTCTCTACTGTCTCATACTAAAATACTTTGTGTTTGTTTTTGTTTATCTTTAAATATTTTACTACATATATTGGCACTTTTAACAAAAAAATAAAACAAGAGAAAAACTACATAAGGTAGTCATCATATCATCACCATAGATAGTCATAATAAGTGAATTGTGCAAATTGGTTAGTTTACACCATCAACCAATAATTCCAAGACACACCTTGTCTAAAAAAACACTTTAATTTAACCCTGAAAACCCAATTCATTTTCAATTAACTGTAAAGTTAAATTTTGAGTTGCTCTGTAATCAATAATTATAGTCAATTAAGAGACGTCACAGTTTGCTATTGATATACAAAATGTAGGGGGCAGTCGGTTATGATTGCCCATAATAACTATGCAAATTGATCTCTCAATAACAAAAAAGGTATCCTATATCATAGAGTCAGCCTATCAGAGCTGTGCGTCTTAGGAATATATAAAGTTTGTTATATAATATAAGGCCAACCCGCACATGGCCAGCGTGGTGGACTATGCTCTGATTCCCCTCGTATTGAAGGGAGACCCGTGCCCAGCAATGGAACTTTAAAAAGGGCTAAATACATACATTACTTAAATAATGAAATACCTAATACAAAAATAATACAAACGATGGTATTGTATACAGGGTGCACACGACGCGTGGTCGGGATGGGTGTGTGTCCTCCTAGTCGGTGTCTGTACCGGTGTCGTCGCCGGTGTCATAGACATTGGAGCCTCCTGGATGACGGATTTGAAGTTCGGGATCTGTCCCCAAGCGTTCTGGTTCAACAGGGAACAGTGCTGCTGGTCAAACGACGAGATCACTTTCGACCATGGGAATTGCTCGCAAGTGAGTGCTTATATGTATATCTTTATGATAAAAAATGTGAATTCTTGTTACAGAGATAAAAATAATTTAAGTGTAATTTTTTTATTTCCATTCCATTGTCATATTTATGATATGTAAAGAAAATTATAGATGGTAAATCAAATTAAAAAAAAATCCGTTAGTCACTTATGTATGTACCTTATATGGAGAGCATGTGTATTTCTAAAGCAAATTTAATAAAGTGCTATCCAAAGTAAAATCCATGTTTTATACAAGGGAATGTTTGAGTAGATCTTGTTGATATCAAACAAACTAGTGTTGTAAAAATCTTTATTATTATTCCCCTAATTTGATATCGATTAAATAACTATAGTAATAAATGAAGTAGCATATTTGATAACATTTTAAATACTTCCAATTCTAAAAAGGAGGAGGTTCTCAATTCGTAGGAGGCTTTTTTATGTATGTTCACCGATTACTTGAAGACGCCTGAACCGATTTGGAATTTTTTTTTGTTTCAAAGGGTATACTTCCCAAGTCCCATATAAATTTTATTGAAATCGGTCAAGCGGCTTTTAAAAAAAATCAACAATATTTTTTTTTTCAAATAAATTGTTTAATCGAATATGTTATTAAAAAACTTTCTTCTTACAAATTACCTGCTTATTACGTCTACACTAAAAATAGAATATTATTGTTTATTACATTTTAGTGCCTGGAAGTCGGTTTTTTTGTTAAAAAGTTTTTTAAAATCAATCATTGTTAGCTGATCTGACATGTCCGTTAGAAAAATGACAAGTTTTATAAATCGTACCCGCGCGGCTAACAAAACTTGTACTAAAGCTTAGTTTTTAAATTGACCGAGTTGACAGACAAAGGGTATATTTTCACAATACGTGATGAAAATGTTACTATGAAAAAAAATGTCACTGACAGAAATTATTTAAACGAGTTGAGACAGGAGTTCAATTCAATTTTCTTGTTTAATGGCTTTTAAGCCAGCGTGTTTTTTTATAAGTTGGCCACATTGTCTGTTGTAGTGGATGACCTGGCCACAATTATTCGGCGAGTCGCGAGACGGTCCCGGAGCGTATATAATCAGCTACCTATTCTATATCATATGGGCCCTGCTTTTCGCCGCCCTTTCCGCTTCACTCGTGAGAATGTTCGCGCCCTACGCGTGTGGATCAGGTGAGATTGGGTTCTGATTTCATTTACTTATTATACTTCTATAATATGTGTGAAATGATTAGTGGTGTATATATCTGTTGGTTTGTATGTTTATTTTATGAATGCACCGGATGTATAAAGTTTTTTTTTTTGTATAAAAGTATTAGGTTGTGTGTAAGATATAAATTTTAATATATTAAATTTTTTATTAAAGAAAATGTATGGTGATCATTTCCTCGAGAATTCGCTCGCACTTGACATTTTTATTTTTTCTGATTATATTTTGATTACTTTTATTTTATAAAAGTTTTTGCAGTTGGCATTCGACGTCGACCGATAACAGTAAAAGATAATAATAAATATGTACTAAAACATTGGCACTAGTGAGTCAGGCTTTACAACTTATCAATATTTAATTACGTGCTTAGTTAAATGCCTATAGTTTTAAAATATGGCTAATATCTAACTACGTTTTACACAAATATGATCTACAATGTACATATTTTAATGTGGAGTTTCTCAAACTTTTTGCAAATTTTTAGGTATTCCCGAAATTAAGACGATTCTCAGCGGTTTCATTATTAGAGGCTACTTGGGAAAGTGGACGCTAATCATCAAGGTCGTCGGTCTGATATTGTCGGTCTCATCTGGACTGTCCCTTGGGAAGGAAGGCCCTATGGTCCACATTGCTAGTTGCTTGGGTAAGTTTAGACATGTTTTCATAATATAATATGACTTATTTTTTCTTATTCTCTCCCTCTTTTTATGTTGACACGTAGAATATAAGCTTTATCTATTTTGAATTTGTTTTCAACGACTTCGAAACCGTTTGTAATGAAAATTTGTATTTTTACAACCCTTACTCGGGGTTTGTACTGTAATACTTGACAGACGTGCATAATAAAACAATTGTTCCATTTGCAGGTAACATTCTATCCTACCTATTTCCCAAGTACGGGCGCAATGAGGCGAAGAAGCGTGAGATACTGTCGGCCGCCGCGGCCGCGGGCGTATCCGTCGCTTTCGGGGCGCCCATCGGTGGGGTGCTCTTCAGCCTTGAAGAGGTACAACCATACTATATTCACATATTTAGTGAGGAATTATTAAAAATTTGTTATAAAATCAAAATACAAATAAAATTGAATTTGTATTTTTAAATATTTATATACAATATTTATTAGTTTTCTCTTACCGTTGTATCACTGTCATCTCCTAAATTGATAATAAATGAGGTAACTACACGAGAGGCGTCTGAACGGTACGGAATGCAACGACGGACTAATTATGACTCGCATTGTAAACGCGGCCTAAGCGTCTTATCTGCAACACATCACGTGGAAGCGCAAAATCGCAGTGCTTGGTCCATTCGGCAAATACAGTATAATGTTATAAATGTATGTTTGTTATCGACTTCGAAACAGAGTGACGGATTGGCGTAATTTTTTGTATGGAGTTAGTTGGAGGTCTGGAGAGTGATATAGGCTACTTTGCCGAGAGATTTTCTCTCTCACCCTCGTCCCGCTCGGGTTCGTCCGTAGTTACGTTTTAACATTTAGTATAAATTTCTCAGAGATGATATATTTTCCCGTAGTAAAAAGTACCCTATATGTTGACCCTGACAACCAGCTATCATAATATCAAATTCCATCAAAATATATTCAGTGGTTTTCCCGTGATGCGGTAATAGACAGGCAGACAGACAAAAATTCTAAAAACTATAGATTTGGCCTCTGTATCGATTATAAAGTCTATTTCAATAAGATTTTCCAAAAAATATTTAATGTAACAGATTCGGCTTAGTTACAATTTTATTATATGTATAGATTGTACAATATTTAATTTCTTCCAGGTCTCCTACTACTTCCCATTGAAGACACTATGGCGTTCTTTCTTTTGCGCCTTGATCGCGGCTTTTATCCTCCGCTCGATCAATCCCTTCGGTAACGAGCACTCGGTACTGTTCTTCGTGGAGTACAATAAGCCTTGGATCTTCTTTGAGCTGATACCTTTCTTGGGATTGGGTATAATTGGTGTAAGTATAATGTTATAATGACAATAAAATCTTTATTTTATACAAAAAATAAATAATTAAGGTTATATACACATGTATAGTTAGAAAATATATAAGAGGCCTTAATAATAAAAACGGCGATTTCTGCATAATACATCCTGTATTATCATAACATAAGTTATTTGAAAAATTAGTTGACAAAATTAGAATTTTTGGCAATGATTGTATGTTTTCTCTTCATGCTATTACAGCTTGACAGATCTTTTACATTATACCATTCTACATTTTATTCTCACACTGTAGTGAAACCTCGAGCGTAAACCAGTATTACTTATCCAACAGGGCTGCATAGCAACAATATTCATCAAAGCAAACATATATTGGTGCCGGTACCGCAAGTACTCCAAGTTGGGCCAATACCCGGTGACGGAGGTGCTGGTGGTGACCCTGGTTACCGCCATCATAGCCTACCCGAACCCGTACACACGTATGAACACCAGCCAGCTGATATACCTACTGTTCAACCAGTGCGGCATCTCCAATACTGATCCTCTGTGGTGAGTTTGTTGTTATATATATTTGGGGTTGTCGAGTATATTTTAAATGATCCAATACATCTCCATTGTCCATTCATAGTGGGCGCTTTTTATTCTTAAGAATTTGAAATAACTCCATCGCTTCAAAACAGCTTATTTTAAAACAGTTTAATTTAATAGCTTAAAATTCATACAAATTAAATTACATTTAGTTTTCTTGGAATTCCAGTCCAAGTCCAAGTCCAAGCTGTTAAACATTACAACCCCATCTGGCGTGACTCGTTACAAAATACACAGATAACTTAAATGCATTCAAAATTAAACTCTATATTTTATTGATTGAAATTAAAAACTAAGTAACAATTAGCAAAATAGCACCGTAATGTATATTGTACATACAATACATTAAATTATTTTATTTTTTAATGTAACTCTAAATTGTGTTTTAGACCGACTTTAATGCATTTATTTATATATAGTTAACTATGATATAGATAAAAATGCTAGGTTATGATTGATTGTACTCAGTTGTTAATCAAATATTTACTAAAACTTGAATTATTAATTAATTGCAAGGCTTGTCAATGAATATAATTTCATATGGTGTTTCTATGACACATTTAATCTGTGTAAAAATTTATTATATATATATTAATTTATTTTCGTATAATTTTTTTGTCTTCTTGCGTCAAAACCTTCACCTGTATTCAGTTTTTATATATAGCTTAGTTCAGATTTTGCATATCCACTGACATTTATCTTTAAAGTGACACTATTGTTGTTATTGAGGAGCGCTTCAGATTGTATATTTTTGTGTCGCTCAAGTCATTATATAACATTTTGATCTCTTCTTTGACTGTTAAGATATTCGTGTACACCTTACATATTTGTATGACAAAATAATAATTATTTTCAGCGACTACAACCGTAACTTCACCCACGTGAACTCGGCCATAGAGAAGGCTGCTGCCGGTCCTGAAGTGTACCACGCGATCTGGTTGCTGTTCCTCGCCCTGGTGTTGAAGTTGGTCATGACGGTGTTCACCTTCGGCATAAAGGTCCCCTGCGGACTGTTCATACCCAGCTTGGCCCTGGGAGCCATCGCTGGGAGGATCGTTGGGATTGGTGAGTGGTTTTTGTTGTTCTTTCTAGATTTTGTTTTTGTGTTTCTTTATTTAATGTAAAATTAAATCAAACTTGGTCAGAGGGTCAGAGTCACATTAAAGAGAGATATGTTATTATTATTAAATATTTATTTCAGAAGAATAAATTATATTTTACCTAATAGTTTTGGATAATCATAATTACAATTGTGAGATAGGTAAAAAGGTGTACAAAGTTTCTGCTTCATGTATTAATATATTGATTACTCTTGTAAATGAATTGCATATTTGAACATTTAGGTGTGGAGCAGCTGGCGTACAACTACCCGAAGATATGGCTGTTCTCAGGCGAGTGCTCGACTGGTGACGACTGCATCACGCCCGGCCTGTACGCCATGGTGGGCGCGGCGGCCGTGCTCGGCGGCGTCACCAGGATGACTGGTGAGCTTTTGTTGTTATTGTATGGAGGGATTATATAATTGACCGACTTGAAACAGAAGGAAGTTTGCGGTGGAGTGTATGTGATTTACATGTGTTTTATTGGTTATACATTTAGAATAATATAAATTTCAAGAAGAAAAGGTCATTTTGAAATTGGCGTGGTATTAATTTAAAAATTAGTTATGTTTAATTTTGTATTGGTTTGTTCAAGTTATTGAATAAGACTAATAAGTGTTCTGAATGATAAGCACTAATATATATAATTCATAATACATAAATAAACCCTCGCTTTATTTATGTATTATGAAATAATAAGCAAACTAAAATATTTATAATTCCCTAAACGAAATTAAAAACAAAAAGATGTTTGATATTTTGAACATGTTAATGTGGCAAAGTAACTAATAGCATAGTATAAAAAACCATACAATAAGCGATCGTTCATTGTTCAACAAAAATGCTGGCAGTATTAAAGGACTTCATTAGACAACAGTATGGATTAGTAGATTTTTGATGAAAATATTGCTGCCTTCAAACTTTAATATAGAAACTTATTACATTTTTATCACTTGTCATTAGCCTTTTGCATGTATTACGTATGATATCAGTTCATCAACTGTGATAACCCGAAGTATTAATTTCAGTTTCCCTCGTGGTGATAATGTTCGAACTGACTGGCGGAGTGCGCTACATAGTGCCCCTAATGGCTGCGGCAATGGCGTCCAAGTGGGTGGGAGATGCTCTGGGGAGACAGGGGATATATGATGCTCACATTGCCCTCAACGGATACCCCTTCCTGGACAGCAAGGATGAGTTCCAGCATACCTCCCTGGCAGCTGATGTTATGCAACCTAAGTAAGTTTGCTTTATGTTATATGTATAATGTGTTTCTAAAGTGATATGGTTATTTTTCAATTTGATTATGTGTTGATGATTCATTAGATGAATTGTGAGCAGAGTGAAATGAAAGTGAAATAATTCACCTACTTTTTACGTATGTATATATATATGTATGTATGTAAATGTTGTTTTGTGATATAAGTACATTTCATCTGAGCATTGATAAAGCGACCCATAGTAATGGAGTAATGATCATAGTGTAACTTTTTAAATATGAAACTTAAATATTATGAAATACAAATACAATTTTATATTATCATATTGCTCACACTCGATTCACTCTGGTTCTTCCCTAGGTACGGTTTAACGGTTAGTATGAAATAGATAGTCTATCTCTTGCTTTATAAAAAACAAAAACATATCTATTCCATAAAAATGTGCATTTTTCCTGGTAAAAAATTAACCTCTATGCTATTCCAGACTACAATCTATCTCTCGCATATACTATATATAAAACACCTTTCAGACGCAACGAGACCCTCTCGGTGATCACCCAGGACTCGATGACGGTGGACGATGTGGAGACACTCTTAAAGGAAACTGAACATAATGGCTACCCGGTGGTTGTTTCAAAGGAATCCCAGTACCTCGTTGGCTTTGTTCTCCGCAGGGATCTTAACTTGGCTATTGGTTTGTAGATGATATCTAAAATTAATTTAGTTTTATGGATATTTTCATTGCATGATCTCTCTCAGTCTCAAATAGTGTTATTCTATTTTTGTATAGTTGGAAATATTACATTTGCTTTGAAAAAATAACACATTTTATATTTCTTTTCATCTGTCACTTCAACGACATTCAACGACATTTTCCTTAAAACCAATAGGAGTAATGAATAATGAAAATACAAAATAAATAACAATTCCTACAGTGATATTAATAGCACCTTTTAACCAATGAACAGCTAACGCCCGTCGCACAATGGAGGGCATCACCGGCCAGTCGACGGTGATATTCGCGGGCCCCATACAGCCGCAGCCCGGGCCCCCCTGCCTGCCACTCAACCGCATACTTGACATGGCCCCCATAACAGTGACAGATCAAACCCCCATGGAGACGGTGGTCGACATGTTCAGGAAACTTGGCTTGAGGCAGACCCTTGTTACGCATAATGGGTTCGTTCCATTTTTTTAAATAGTTTTACTTTTTTATTTTATTATTTGCTACGTTTTTGTGAACTTATACGAGTATAGTTCCTCGTCTTGTTAGACAAAGTAAAAACTTTATTATAACGATGATGACTCCAAAATGGTTGGCGTTAAGTCTTTTCACTAAGACAAGAAATCGTATTCAAGTTTAATCAGTCTTAATATAACAAATGAGAAAATTTGTATGTGTGTATGTTTGTTACTCCTGCACGCAGAAACGGCTGGGTGAAAATTAACATCATTCATATAATGTTATTCTTTTAACATCATAATAATGTGTATTTATAAATAAATGTATTTATTTTCCCTCATAGACGCTTACTTGGTGTTATCACGAAGAAGGATGTACTGAGGCATGTCAAGCAAATGGACAATGAGGATCCCAACTCCGTACTGTTCAACTAAACGTATACCGACGACACTTGGCTTTTTAAGTTGATATCAGATTACCTTTACGTAATTGAAACAGTTGTAAAATTATGTCGCATTCATTCGGCTATTCGAATAAATCGATTTCAAAAAGATTATCTAAATAATCGATTATTCCAATCTATGGTGTCGATGTGGAATACGAAAACTAATATAAAAAAGGCTTAGAATTATGTAATTTGAATTTTATGAATATTTCTATGTTACACATTAATGTTTGTATTATTGGTATCACACTAATCGATCTTGTGATTTTATTCACTCGTAATGTAGGTAGCTCTATGTATTAGATATGATGGAATCTTCTAGAAACATCATACTATATTATTATAGTTAATATTTAGAGGCCATTTTACTTTCTTCCGTTTGTATTCAATATATTTTACATTTTTTGTGTAATTTTCTTTTTTATTACAATAATAGTCAATCAGATAGATGTAAATGCATTCACTTATTTATTATTTTTACAATATATTGTGATTTTAATGAAATGTTAACAATGTAATCCATCTAGTTACATGTGTCTTAGTGTAAGTCTTAAGAAGTTATTAATATAAATGGATATTAATATAATTAAATATATATGGATATTGTTGTGGTGGCCATATTGATGTCACTCTATCAAGCTTTGTATTAAGCACTATGTCTTTATATTGTATTACTTTTAGAGAGTTTATTTGTCTGTATATAACTTACATATTTATTGCATTTGACAGGCAAATAAACTATTTAAATGATGACGTGAGAATGGCGTCTAAGAATGTTATGAATAAGTCAATTATGGGCCTTCGTATTTCTAAGGCATGGAATGCAAACTTGTAGTGACATTAGATCCGTAAACGCGGCGGGAATCAAACCTGCACCAAATATACCTTACGGTACTAATGTCCTAAGTAATAAGTAAAAGAGTATAATATTGTAATATTATTGTAAGCAAATATCATCGTAGTATTTGTAATACATTAATGTGAATATATAAGAGAATATTTTATTATTCACTTAAATTGTAGATGCTGAAAGGTTTTCATAGTTTATTTTTACATTACTTTTTCTAAAAGCTGCTTTTTCGTATTTTTCCCAGTAATTATCACATAGATGTTCATCTTTTTCCGAGTTTCATAAAATATGTTCATATATTTGGCTTTTGTCATTTGAAAGCAAACATTTTTAATAATTATTAGAAGCGATTCTTCCAATGTTAATTGAGTGCAGGGTCCTTATGTCTATGTCGACACTTATATTTCATTAGTATTACTTTTACCTCTTTACCTCCCTTTTTATAAGTTCATTTACATTAATTTTATGTAACACCCTCTGATAGAGATGGACGATGATAAATTAGATATTTTTACACCATTTTATTAGTAATTATATAATAAAATTATGGAAATCGATTTTACTTCTGATTTACTTCAGAATGTCGTATCGATTTAAAATGAATAAAAGTGGATGACGATGTGATTAATTGAGATTTTTTGATTGAATTGATACTGTTGGATGGACAGATATATTTATATAAATCATTCGATTAATGCCCATGAATAAGTTCTTTTTAATATAATCGTCCATCTCTACTCGATAGCAACCTTGTATACAATATATTAATTACATTTTAGTCATATTGAGTTCCATTTTAGATTTTTTATTATACCAATTTAGGGTAAGCTCATGTTGTTTGTATACTAATTTGCTAATGTTCTTTTTTTTAATAAATTATATTTTGTTTATATCAATCTTTATTAACTAGTTCGTTTGAACTGAGTTGCAATGAATTAGGTTTTAAATGGATGTATATAGTAAGTCAAAGTAGCATCATTGTACAACAGAGTAGAGTGGATGAGAGGCACTAATATTTATTGTCAAGGTGAATGTAGAAATTTCATCGATTTAAAGGTTTTAGTGTAGTTCTAAAAATAATAAAGTCAAGCTCGAGCGTCGCTTTAGAAATTAGAAGATCAATGTTTGATGTTTTATGATTCAATGTATCACAGGTGTATGTACATATATATGGAGACGGTCACGTCTCGCACTATGAGTAGTCTAGTTGTGTGTACAATTTGCACATATCTGTTGAATTTTGTTTTGAATATATTTATATATTATAGTAGGATAGTTAGTATAGAAATATCCTTTGATTGTAAGATTTGTTTCATTTCTTACCGCATGATGTTTTCTCGGTATAGAGCAATTTGTGATTTGTTTGCAGCGAACTACATATTTTAGCTCCGGCCTTGTGTATCTGATGTTATTTGTAAATATTTGAAATGTAATTTTACCATTATTATTAGGTCCGGAATATGCGTATTATGTACCATATTAGAACGGTGCACATTTCTTGTACATTACCTACATGAAATTATATCTAACTTAGAAATGTAGTATCTATTGTAGACACGGAATATTAATTATTCTCTGTTGTATTTTCAAATAATGTCTATATATAAAACGAGCATTCGTTTTCTGTCCATTGTAATTTTCATAATATCTATTGTATGGAGGGGCTCGGAGTTGATAATTTGAAATTGAATGCTGGATTTGTCGGACCTTTTACAAGGAGTTAAGAAAAGTAGGATGGAGATCTAAGAAGAGAACATTAAATTTGCACGCACTAGGCGACCATGACGAGATCATGGTCTCAGTGCCCTATACATGTGACGGGCGTGGTCGCGTTACGGGTATATATTCGTATAGAGGTGAGCTTTATACAATCGTGCAATGATAGGTACACTACTACCTATGGTGTTGTGTGCATTATCTTTCAACCGTTTACACACTCTAATTGTGATTGTAAACACCTGGAAACCAGATAAAACCGGTTTTGTCAACGGGCATTAGTAGTACGTGAGATCATAACATTGCCCTAATATAATAGAGTGCCTAAACGTTGCACCCAAGTCTCTGTAGGGACACTCGGTACTCACTCGTGTGGTCGTTCGTGTGTTGGTCGTAGTCGCGGTCGCCTGGTGCTCGTAGTGCGCAGGCGAAGGATATACGAAATATGAAACTGAATATGTAAAAACAACAAGCTGTGGATGTTTTTGAATAGTTTTAGTATAAATGTTATCGAACCCCGGGGCTCGCGTCGCTTCGAAGGACTGATAGCGGGTTATAGACATGTATAATGTATATATACACTATACACTCTAGATATAGCGACGACTGAGTGAAACAGCTCTTATGACCAAACAGCGTCTCCTTGAGGCGCGACACTTCTCGACTCTATGTTTAGATCTTATTATTCATAATAAATGGAAGTCTTATAAATATTATGCTGTTTACTTTTACTCTTTCTATTGTTTTGATATAGGTTTTGTTATATAACAGGATTATATATTAGATTTGCTGCAATTGCGATTTTTTTTTCATTTTTGTCTTGTTCTTAAGATAATACCAATTGCTACCAATTGAGAGGTCTTTTGTATGGTGCAGATCATCGGTTCGATTCCGAAACTTGGCAAGGAAAGCTATATCTTGGTATGGGTTTTGATACTTATTCAGCTGATACAGAATTTAAATCATTAACATAATGCTTTGCTTAGGTGCGCGAATTTTATTTAACAGAATTTTTTTGGTGAATGTCATGTTACCATTATGGCGAATTGGCTGTTTTGGCGAAGTTTTCATTATAATGACAGTAAGTACAAATATCTGTTGTGGGATAGTGATTTTTTAGTACATTTTTCGAGCTTACTATATTATTTGAAACATTGAGATCGAAAGTATTGATTTAAAGGCATAGACTATTTTGAAGCTGCCAGTGCGAAAGTACCTTATTTAAAGATTTCTAAATGAACAATATAAATAATAAATAATTTCAATATAATAACAAATAGAATCTAATATTTTTTTAATTTGAAAGACTAATTGGAATTTAGACACCCGAAGAATTCAAAATATATACATGGTTATGTATGTGCAAAGTACATTCAAGATAGGATATCGTCATGTAGATATAGGTTTTGTTTTTACATTATTTTATTATTGAGTCAGGTTTCTAAGTGTGAATCATGCTTATTGATATTGACGATACATTTGATTGTCTCTAGCTAATCTATGACATGCTAAAAGTATCACATTCAAAGGATTTTAGGTCGATCTTTCTTTTGTGCGTCACTTGTTCTGAATAAACAAATGTAGTCTATAATTTGAAAATAAATATATTTTTTTAATTAAATACAGTATCTAATTAAAAAAAAGAAATGATTATATCTTTTATTTTAACTTTTGCATGTCGGTGATTACTATTTACAGTACCTACTCGCCTAATTTTATTTATAGTTTATCGATTTTAGCGAATTATATTTTATTTGATTAATAGTGAATTCATATGTAAAAATTGTATAATACATTGTTGTTGTTTTGCTTTTGCCTCAGTAGAAGTTTTGATATTTATCTTTTGAGGGTTTCATATTTATTTTATAGTAGCATAAGTATGTTATTGACTTTATTTTATCTCACACAAAATACTAACAGTTTTATTATCTATTTTCTTGAATAGAAACTTGGAACACTTCTGAGAAGAGTGTGGAAAAAAAAGACAGAAACTCTGTAGTAGAGAGAGAGAGACATAATTACTACTGCACAGAATTTTTCAGTGACTACTCCACCTTTATATTAACTGTATCTTTTCATAAGTTATGGCAATCTTATCTATTTTTTTATCTAATAAGATATTAATTTCAAATTTCAATAATATCTATGTTGATGATAAAGATTTTTCAGATAACGGCAATAGATCGAAAATTATATTCTGACTATTACTACGTTTTCAATTGTGAACTATCGAGCGGCAACACTAGATGCAATTGTTAAAATTCTCATGATGCAATGCTGATTGCAGTTGTTGAAATTAAACATGACCTCATTATAATGGAGTGTTCACTCGCGGAACTGTTGACACATGTTTTATACGACATTGTTAGAATGCATAATATGAGTTAGCTAGTCATAACTTTAAGTAGAAGTAGAACAAAAACTAAACTACAATAGCTATTTATAATTCTCTCCATGAATTTCACGAAATTTCTGATATATTAAACACCTTATCGAATTTTGTTTCGGGTCTATTTTGATATTTTGTTCCAGACTTTTCGAATTCTTTAGAGCAAACATGATCGTGGGAGGGAGCAAGGTTTTAACTTCTCAAAAGCTGACGACATAAGATGTTTAATCACTTGGAAGAAAAATTTGTGGGTAGAAACCGAGTCTTTGAGACATCAAAAACTTAAGTCTTTGCCGTGGCCATGTTTGTTGTAAAGCATTCGAACCGTTGGGAACTAAAAACCTAAATAAATCTGCCACAAAATCCGAAAAGTTAGTTTGACCCACTCATGCGTCGCAGGCCGCTTTCCTGTTTACTTTTCGCATTTATATTTTTTAGCAAAAATCTTGATATAATTATAAGAGATACATTGGGGTCACACTCAAGTTTTCTTTTGCTAATTACTTCAGCCTCTTCATAGTTTAGTCAACTCACAACTTATACAACACTGTGGTTTAGTCATGTACATATTTTTACTTTGCCTATTCCCTGCCACGGAAACTATTTGTGATCACAAAAATTAATGTTATTATGTATCTATTCAAAAATTATTAGTTAATGAATTTTACCATAATGAACAAATGGTATCGTACACAACTTTTATACAAATTACCATTAACTACACGCAAAAGTTTTTTAAAATCCTGTTATACACTATTTTGTGAATGTTTAACGATTACTTAATATATAATAAAAATAATAATGATGTCATTACAAATATAAGCTCTGCCAATCTTGCAACCATAAACTTTGATAAAGTATCATTTTTTTAGCGACGTTTGCATTCTTTTTTCAAAATAAACTGTGCTTGCACTAAATTCTAATTGTGACTGTGGTCAAAATAACTACGAGAAATTAATATTAAAATTGCCAGCAGTGCGTATGCAAATATGAATAAAAGACCTTTTTCCCCTTTAATGTGAGGGTTAAAAGATAGAATGTTCACAAAATGATTTTCTCCTTTCCCGGAAAATCTCTTTATGTTTCAGAACAAAATGTACTTTTAACTAAACATTTAAATGAAATATTTTAACTCATTATAATTGAATGATATAATTTATATATTTTATTGAAATATAAAAGAAAAATATTTAAAGGAAGAAACGTAATAAACAAAACAAATTATCTCATTTATTTATTAATTTAAAATACATATACAACTGGTTACAAACATTAGTATTTCGTATAGTCTCACTACGCGCGGCGGACAGGACAAGAAACAGATAAATTAGGCTAATAATAAATATTGTAATTAATATTTAAAAACTTAAATGAAAAATAGTATATCACAAAAAGCGTTGAGTAAACAAATTATATTTATGCATCATTTGGTTCGAAGGGACACGTGGCACGTCGCACGACGCTAGCGGCGAACGATTCAAATGCGTATCATATAATTATTACTTAATAATATTTTATTCAAATAGTACATTTTTAATTTAAAATAAAGAACGTGTCATAAATTAACCGCTAGTGTGTATTTAATGAAGTGTTGCCAGGTTCTTAATTTTTAAGTCATTAGTAATAAATAGGAATTTTTTTTAGTATGATGTATTTTAATAATAAAATTGCTTTTTACAATAAGAGAGTTGGTAATTCATAATCGTGACTCTGGCAACACGAAGCGTAACAAATGTGCTTACATATAACTTAAATAGTATTTAATTAAAATAAATATTACATTGAGGATACATGAATGAGTTAAAATAAGCGCGAGGGTCGCGATAATCTGTGAAGTTTAGCGCACGTCTGCCGAAACATTTGAATATTATATGTTAAATACATTAAGTAATGTTTTAAAAAAATACTATTTTTCAAAATTAGAATGATTTAAACATCACATCACAGATGTGCGCGAACGTATCACCATAATAGCGGTAGAGTAAAAAGCGAAATAAAGAACAAATATTTGGTTGCGCACACGCACGTTGCGACATCTCATACAATTTAAGATTTAAAAAAAATTGCTGAAATATGATTTTAAACGTAGTTTGATCGAAAGTCGCAACGGAGACACCGCGTGCGTGTAGATATCCTAGCTGAGATCAGTTGTTGGAAACTAAATGAGAGTGTTCAATAACAATGTACGGGTAGTACACTAATTGGCCTAATCATAATTATTCACTAAATTCGCTACACCGCGGTGCTAGAGAGTCTTGAGTCCCAGAGTCCCCCGAGTCCCCCGACAGCCGGCCCGCGGCTAAATTCATATGATATGGGAGTAGTATAGTTATCTTTCAACATTCATATAATTTATCAATTACTTTATCAATAATAATAATTTTTATATTCATTAAAACAATTAAATACTGACAATATTCGTATAGCGTCATATACCAATAACACCAACTAAACTTTTAATATGAAATTAAATAAGTGTTAATAATTAAAAATCTATCAGTTGACATCAATACATATAAAGTAGTAATATCAGTGTATGAGAGCGGGCTTAGAGAGTTGTCTTAGCTATGCGTAACACCGGACCATATATTACATTACATCAAGTAACTATTTCAGACACAGAACAGTTAAAGCGACAGAGGACGCGTCGTCCGCACTCGGTACAGGTGTGAGGCACTAGAGATGGCTGATCATGAATGATACTTGCATTCAATTTATTTATAAACAATTTTTAATTATGCCACTTTACGAGAATTGGATATGCATTTTTCTTATCTATTTGTTTTGAGCTTCAAAAGGATACCTTGATTAAATTTATACTTGTTTAATTAGTGAGCCCTTCAGTTCATTTTTTTTAATTTTATATATCATAAATATTTAATTTTAAATCGTCGATTTATCGATTACATCATGCGATTATTATCGAGTAATCATTCGCAATCGCCCACCCCCAGATAAGACACAGAGTTAGCTTATTTGATATAGACACCGATTTCTTATTTTAAAGCTATAACACATTAGTACATACATATATGCGTAAAATGATTCCACAAAAATATAAATTTTAGTGTATAATTTAATTTGACATTTAGAAGTTTAACACATTTAAGGCGAAATTTCATCTACTTTTTAATACATTTACGATTAATATGATACTATGTTCATTTTAAATTATTTTTGGTTTAATAAGCTCTGGCTGTAAGCTTACGCCCAGTCGTGGGTCTTTCAAGAGTCAAATCAGTATGTAGTGCACGTTTTGTTATTTGTGCGATGTGCAATGAGTATGTCAGCTCTGCGACCAACGTCGAGGGTACGTTCAATGTCAAATCATGTGGTTGCAGGTGAGGGCGTGGCCCTCCCCGTGGTCCTCCCTGTGCAGGGCGAGCTTTGCTAAGTGTTGTGTTCGTCCGGCGCTGAATATCATCCAATATTACAAACAAGTCCGTATTACAACTTGCTGTCGGCAGCCAGTGCAGCCGCTTCACTAATCTAGTCTCAGGTACGTCTACGGCGATGTCGACGCGAATGTGTGGATCAATGACACACTTGCGTTAACAAAAAGAACGAAATAATAAACGAACAAATTATATAATATGAATAATGTGTAATGAATGTCAAATTGTATGTCAGAATACATATTATTGTATATATGTGGCGTGAGTGTGTGATTCATATGTCGATGTTGAAGCAGCTGTGTAGCGCGGGGCGGCGTGGGCCCTGTGACGAGTGACGTGGGCGCACCGGGTGGGAGAGACGCCGGCGGGGCGCGGGAGTAGGTGCGGGGGGCGCGGGTGGTGGGGGTGGCGGCGGGGTTGCGGCCGGAGTGGGGGGTGCGGGGGAAGGACGGGATGGCGCCAACGCGGGTGCGGGGGCGGCGGGGGCGCGGCATCAGACAAACTCCTGGCGTTGGAGCGACACGGACACCTTATACAGGCTCTCCATCATGAAGGACAGATTCTGGGACAGCTCGTTTACTGGCCGCGTGATCGCCACCATGTCTGTGGAGTGAGAGATGCGACTGTATGAAATATTTTTTTTACTTATGAGAATTATTCATTGCAAAAAATAAGCCGGGTTAAAAGAAAATATGCTTTTTTATTACCCTTGCTGTCGTTGCGTGACAGAAGGACAAACTAACAAACGCAATCGTCTTATCATATTAAATATATTAGATATTCTTGGTATACAATTTTTACCGAGGATATCTAACATTCCAGCTATAACATGATCATTGTTCAATAATTCTGGTTATTATACAATATACATCGATACACAATTATAATATATAAAGAACAAACTTACCGGGATGCGACTGCGCTAGTCCCTTGCAGTACACGTGCAAGAGGCTGGTGACGTCATCCTCCGGGAGTTCCCCGCGCTCCAGTATGCGCTCCGCGTTGCGCTCGCGAACCGACGCTAGCGCCGCACCCCATCTAATGTGTATTAAAAACTTATATATTTAATGAATAAAAATCGTACTAATTGATATCATCTTAAAGTATAACAATGGAATTTAGGTAAAACTATCTTTTCGGATTTTCCCGTCTCTATCCCGTGACCATGATTCGAAACGTCGAGAACCAAAAATCTATATAAAAACGTGTAAAGCCAAAAAAAATGATTTTATTTAAAATGTCTAGTATTTGTGGAAAACAAAACTTAATAGAAATTAGACGATTCCCGGAGCAATGTTAGCAGAGCGTGGGATGGATTTTATGTATTTATAAGCAAGGCTCGGAACCGGTTTGTATAATATCGGTTAATAAAGGTTTCGCGTAAAGGTTTCGTTGAGAACGAAACCCATAATCATTTCGTTTCATAACCGAAATAAACCGGTTTATGTAAACATGGAAGATATTTTACGACCTGTGTGAAAACGATAACTGTTTTTCTTTATTTATTAAAGTTCCTAGAGTCAAAAGGCTGACAGGAACTGATTTTATTAAAAAAATACGTGATTGTGTGTGTTTTTAAATTTAAAGAGAGTTTGTAAGAGAAACTAGCGACTTACCCTTGCTCCGCTCGGGATTTTCCCTTAGTACATTTTAATGGATTTTCATACATTTTCTTAGAGATGAGATATTTTCTCGCAGAAAAAAGTATCCAAATAAGATTTACAGATTGTTTAATAATTATAAATTGTAAAATAAACGAACTATGATCGAAAATATTTTCTTTTATTGTCAAATAATACACATGTAAAAAATAATTGCAAAAATCGTTCGTTGATAATCCCGGTGCAAAGGACCGGCGTCACCAAGAATGGATGTAAAGTTGAAAAATCAACAAGTGCGGGTAAATAACCTGTTAATAGCGATTAAATAACCTTAAGCGTAAAGTGAGTTTATTTTGAACGTAATCCTTACTATACCGGTTTATTAGAAATAAAACCGAAACTTATATATGCGTCAACTCTAAATCTGTTTTCTGACTGTCAAATAAAAGTGTGTATTGTGTATATGTATGTCCGTGCAAGCGCGCACGCGCGCGCGCGCTCTTGCGTGCGTGCGTGCGTGCGTGTGTGTGTGTGTGTGTTTGTGTGCGTGTGTATTTATTTGTGTGCGTGTGTGTGACAGTGAAAGAAGCGTTCCTTCCTGTCTGTGAGTGTGGGTGTGGGTGTCCCACGAGATATCTTATTTCTTTTTTTACTTTAATGTTTCTGTATTGTTTTGGGACTGTAGCAGTGTGTGTTACAAATAAAGTTACGATGAGTGCACTCACCTCTGCCTATGCATGAGATGCAGCAGGCGCGCGTCGTCGTGGGGCGCGGGGGAGTGCTCGGGCCACGCGTCGCCCGCGTGCGCCGCCAGCGCCGCGCGTACCGTCGCCACCGCCGCGCTCATCTCCACACCCTACATAGATCACATCATTTATACATTTGAATATTTTATGAATTTTGAATAGATATTATCGAAAACAATTGCAGAAGTTCATAAAATGTGTAAAGTTAGTAGCGTCTTCCCGTGGCTACGCCCGTGTAGTTTAGCTACGCTATATTTTAGTCTCATGTATAAACTATATTTGAACAAAATCCGTTCAGTAGTTTTTGCGTGAAAAGTCAACAAGCATACATGCACATTTATTAGCGTTTATAACATTAGTAGGATTAATATATAGTGTCTCGCCGAACAAACAAAATATATCCAACTAATTTTGTCTGTAGCTATGTCTATGTGATAGATATTTCGAAAAAATACTTATTTAGCATAAGACTCGCAAGTTATCTCCATTCCGAACTTCACTGAAACCCGTTGAGCCGTTGCGTGGCAGGTGGCAGGGAAATATCCAGTACAAATTGCGTTTATAATATTAGTGTTATAGTAATAATAGCCTTTTTTAACGTTCCATTGCTGGAGGGGGGGGGGGCTCCCTTCAATACGAGGTGGATCAGGCCATAGTCCACCACGGTGTCCAAGTGCGGGTTGGCGGACATGTCTTTCGAAAACTTGCTAGGTTCTCTCAGACATGCAGGTTTCCTCACGATATTTTCCTTCACCGCAAGGCAAGTGGTAATCATGTTAGAAATGATTCGCACATGAAAATATCAGAGGTGCGAGACCGGGGATTTGAACCCCCTTCACTCGGTTTCCCAAGCGAGCGCGTTACCACTGGGCTACAATTGCCTAAAATATAAAACTTTGATATTATATAAAGCTAAAAATATTTAAATACTTATACAATAATATTTCCAGTAAGTGAGATTACATGGAAGTAGCCGCCCACGGCGGCATACGGTAGGGTTCCCTCCTTGCAGCATCCACGTTTCCGATAATATCAATTTTCGTTTTGTGTAGTGATGTGAATTATACTTCAATTACCTGAGTTTATAACGAGTCAGTAAATATATTTTAAAATCGACACCAGCTAGTCGGAAATTGCCACCGTCCTGTCGCGCAGGAGCCGACCCCCGTATTATTCTATTAGCGACATGAATCCTATTATCCTGTTACGAAGAATAGCGAGGGGGCACACAGCGCCCCGGGCTAGGTCTATAGGTTTTGGGTAAAAGCTCAAAAAATCAATGAAAATTGCAGATAACTAGATTATCCAGTAAAACGCTCTCGACCGAATGTAAATATATTTATGTATTATATATTAAATAACTTAGAATATTTACTAATGGTCATAAAATAAATAGAGTACACTAATAAAAATATAAATAACGAGTGATGAGTAAATAAAGCAATATTAGAAATTAGATTTATATATACATATGTCTGTAACAATTGTATATTTGTATTGAATACTTATTTAAATATGTATATAATATCAACAAAGGAAGTTATGCGAGCGTGTCATAAAATGCTATTTAGGTACTCTACGTTGATGGAGTTTTCTTTCTTCCAAAAGAATTAAAAATGTTGTAATCAGTCAAAGATGTTTGTTTCAAAATAGAAATAATAACACCGTCTTCTTGTTTAGGAAATTAGTCTTTTTAGTAAAAAAACTATAATATGGGTAAAGAAATTTGACTTGAATTTTGACATTTTTAGTCGATCAGTACTTAACTCTTATGTAATGTTCAATTACCAAAATCGTAGGTACGTATTTCTTCTAACAAAAACATATTTGAATTAAAAATCTAATAAATGTTTCTCCAATAACTAAATTAAATTAATATTCATCATTTCGATTTAAAATAATTTTTAATTTTATAGATATAATTATAATATAATATAGACATTATAATTATATGTATAAAATTAAAAATGATTTCATGTCTTTTCAATTTATGTAAATGATAAAAGAAAGTATAAGGTTTCCAATGAACATATGGTATTATATTATAATTTTTTAATATTGTTCATATTTATATACACTCTCAAAGCCCTCTCTCTATTACATTATGACGGGTTGCGGGGTGGCGCGGAGGCGCGGAGGCGCGGAGGCGCGGAGGCGTGGGGCTGCGGGGTGGCCCGGGCACCAGCAGTCACGTAGACCATAAAGTTTATTTTCACCTTCGGTTTGAATAATATTTTTTACGCTTTTGATTTAACTTAGAATTACAAGTAATATAATTACCATTAATTATATTAATTGAAAATAGCGTGATTCTATTGTTTGTTTTTCAGTATTAAGATATTGCATATGGCAATATTTTATTTGATTCCTTACAGCGTGTTTAAATTTAACACGCTGTAAGGAACATCAAAAAACACAATTTTATCAAAAATCTAGCATATCAATTCTATTTTCACTGGACATTTTGTATGGAATACAGTTTATAGTTATAGTAATAGTGATTTGATTTTTGTAATATAATTGGATTTGGTTCTTTTACTTTTTATAATCTCTATTTAGACAATTTATGTCTTTCTTTTAATTACCTTATTTTGTAAAATATTACAAAATAAATAATGATTTCTTTTCCTGGTGCCAAAACATTTTAAATTAAAAAAAACACGGAACATCTCAAAACTTAGAGTAGTAATAATAATTTTAAACTAGCCATTTTGAATTACTAAATTCAATAAACTTAAAAAAAGGTACATTTCCGCAGTTTCAGTTTTGAATAAGCAAGTGTCTTGAAAAAAGAACAATCTATTTTTAAGAAGGTAGGTAGGTAGGTACTACATTTTGGCCAAGCGTGCTCTACATATATTATAATCAAGTTTCGCTTTGCTCTACTAAGTTAAAATTGAAAAAAAAAACTGTAGTAATAAGAATATTAGCTGCTTATCAAGCATATATTGATATCATATTGCTGCTCTATAAATATAATAAAGTACTTTTTGCCATATTCTCAATCCAATGCGACATTACAAATCTGCACTTGCAAAGAATAGGTAACACTGATGCAGTTTTTTTTTAATATAAATAACTTTTATTTTTACATTTAAAACGTTGTCCAGCCAGTGTGTCATAACTGTAATGATCTTTCTCAATGCGCTTGTGCAACATTGCAATCAATACATGTTGAATAGTATGGGGCGGGTGCGTCGTGTGCAGGCCGTAAATCGTATTGATTTGAGCTTATGTAGCACCCAGGTAGCGGGTGTGATGTCAGGTGGAAGCTTTCAAGGGGTTTTATTGGTCAAGTCTCAATGCAACGCAGACAACGAAAGTCCCAAATGTACACAGATATAGCTATTGTTCTACATGACGAGTATGATGTACTTACGCGCCCTGAATTTCGATAAACATTTAGCTATGCAAGATTATCATCATGTCGTATAAGAAGCAATGTGTTTGCTAAATAAATTATAATTAATGAAGACCTACTTGAACGCTGCTAAATACATGTTTATTTGCTATACATCCTATACCTGGCGACACGTTTGGCTCAGTTGGTAGTGACCCTATTTGCTGTGCCAGCGGTCGCGGGTTCGATTTCCGCTGGAAGCTTTCATTTGTGTGATGAGCACGAATGTTTGCACTCCAGTCACGGGTGTTTATATTTATAATGTATATGTATTTAAAGTTATATATGTGTTGTATCAACTATCTGGTTTTCATAACACAAGCCACGTTCGTAGCTTACCATGGAACAAGATGGCGCTGTGTGTTAATGTCCCAACATATATAATATATATATATATATATATATATATATATATATATATATATATACACTTATTATTCTACCACTAAGTTGTCTAGTCAAATGACTCTACACACTTTTTACAGCCATATTATAAATAATGAAGCTTTACTGTGAGTGTAATTTCAGCGCGCTGTAATAGATCAGCCGATTTGAAATAAATTCGACATGGAGATATACAACACCTTGCATTAATATGTACGTACCTATCAAGCGAGCAAAACCGCGGGCAATTACTATTATAAATATACAAACTTACCCTATTATCCAACGCCGCACTGTATACGGCGACGACCATTTTGTTGTTAGTTTCTAACAGCAAAAGAAGTTGAAAGATGAGCTTGTATAGACATCGCCCGGTCTCATCTCCACTTCGCGACAGTTCGAGCGTCTGTGAATATTTTATATAATATATATTTTGTATATAATGTACTGTAATCGTTTTTTTTCTCCATTTCAATATTGAATGCAAAAAATATGTTTATGATTTAAAATGTAAAAATACCTAAACGATTTTTTATTCTTTTCATTTCAGTATTTGATAAGGTTCTAGTTGTTTAACGTAGAGGTAAAGCAAATTAGAAACCTTGTTTCCCTTTTAGAAAGTGTGCTTTAATTTGTATCGACTGGCACTAACGTCGAAAATATCAGATTAGACACTTACCTATAGTAAATGAAAACTACCAATCAGTAATTTTTTACGTTTCAGTGTTTTTTTGAAATCGGCTTTTATTATTTTTTAAGTTTTAAATTTTCCATTTTTTGTGTAGAAATAGCAGTAGCAAAGTAAGAAGAATGTATCTAAAATTCAGTAGGTGAAAAATCAATGATTCCCTATTTTCCTAGGGGTTGTTTTTTTTTATTTAAATGGGACCAACTTCGAAGTATCCAATAAAAAAAGTATATACCTTTATATAATAATACACACAAATTCCAAGAATCTCCATTATATTTGAACAATCATATCATGAATACAATTATATACCTCTAAAGCATGTTCTCGCCTATCGAAGTACGTCTCAAGATGCTCATTGATCTCTAGCGCAGCGTATCTCACAGCATCGCGAACTCTCGCGCAGTCGGCCGCCGCGGGGCCAACCCACAGGAGAGGGGGCTCCTCTGAAGATAGCCTGTCGAGTACTGCGGCCAGGTCTCCGGCCCCTCCAGCTCCTGCTATCAAGGCTCCTTCGCCACAAACTGAGATGGTCTTTGATGTCACCTCCTGGGGGAACAGATGGTATGGAGTGGTGGTTATAGTACCTACTTATTGTTACAGCAAATTTCTGTAGGCAGCTATGGAAAATACAAGAAATGTCTTAAAATGAGAAGAATATCAAATTTCTTAAAAAACCTTTCTTAACGGGTACAAACGTATATTTTAGGTATTGACTCTCAAAATTGAGACTTTTGAATCAATGTGGGCATTGATGAATCCACTTTATTGAGATGAATTTACTTTATACATACGTATAGTAATTTAAGTATAAAGTTTTATCCTAAAGGTTATTTTGCTTTCGCTTTTTTTGCTAAAAGGTATTTATTTTATATAATTTCCATAGCCCTCGATATTCTTTATAATATGTAAAAAGCATTCTTCTATTTTAATACTGTTTTGTATTTTAATATTAAGCTACTCCAACATGATGCACTACATTTACGAGTCTATCGCTATCCTTTTCATTTTCACGGACCAATAAGCATGCACACTCTCTTGCATTCAATTAGTCGACCTAACGTTTGCATATTCTATAGGCTTTCATACTTTCGATTGACAAACCAGTGCAATGTTCAAAATAATTAATTTTTAAATTGTTAACAAATCATATTCTGTACTGAAACTTTTTAAGCCAACCCATTTGCAATATATTTATTGACATATTTAATTTGATATAAAATACTTTTCATCCATTAACCAGCTCAGTGAAGATCGTTTTATACTGGGATCCCATACTACTAAAGATAGATAAACCCAAATTGAAAGTTGTTGTTTCTTGACAAACATAGATTCATTATAGCCCTACGAAAATAGGACAGCTACTATAGAAAATTAGTGTATTGTTAAAGCATTGAACTCACGTTACTAGTCGGCAGGAATATATAATGATTTGCATATACAGAAAATTAAATGCCAATGGTTTTCGCAAATGTAGTAGGGGACACGTTGCAGGCGAGGAGACCGGCAGTGGAGGATAATCCTACTCTGCCGCGCGGCCACCCGACTTCCACTAGTGATGCGTTTCTAGTGTCTATTTTTAAAATATAGTTTTTAAGTACTTTTATTTATATTTTAACAATATTATGTTTTATTATAAACAATATTTTTGATGACAATTTAAGAAGACAAAAAAAGTTACATACTTAACATCCATAGAGACTCCAGAGAAAATAAAAAAAATCCAAAAGATCAAAGATCAGTGATTATCCAAATCGAATCCATTTATAAGATTTTTCTTAGCTATAATAGTGTAAACATTTACATTTCAAGTACCAATATTCAAAAATATGAAAAATCGCCAATTTTCTGGTGGCCAGGAGTCATTACACAGAAATGTTCTAAAAATAAGTTGTGTCTTAAAATTGTCTTTTAATTTTCTTCTTTGAATATATTGTTGTTTTTTATAATGAACTAACGACTTAACCTCGCTTCGTTTGGGTGCGTCCCTAAGCTTAAAAAGTTTAGAAATGCATAAAGGACAAACATTTTAATAAAAAAATCTTTTTTTGCGTCAGGGACTTTCGTAGTCGTATACAGAATAAGGCACCAAAATTTCATCACAATCGCGTTAATTGTTTAGGTCACAGGGAGGACAAACATCCGAATATTCATTTTTGTTTATACTTATAGATAGATTAACACGTTCTTGTGAAAATTACCTTAACATAAATATATTTATATTAACTAAAGCTTCGTCTAGTGCCTAACATATGTCCCCCCCAACGTGCGTTCACCTTGTCGTGGTGGGGGGACTCAGTAGTGCCCGGCAATCCAACCGGGCGCGAAGCTAAGAAACGCACAGGGAGGTTGCCCACTTCGATGGGCGGTAGGAGGTGGCCCTCTTCGGAGGGCGGTGTACCATGCGGGTTGCTCCTGGTACTTCTCTGATAGCAGAGTGGACTGTGGAGCAACCCCATGGTTGTGGTGGTCTGCTTCGGCAGACCTGCTGTCGGGGCGTCGTAGTTGAATGCGTAAGCGATCCTGCGACGCCCCATTAAGACGGGGGAAGGTTTTGTTGGGTTTTAGTGGGTAGTACTGGCTGTATTACGCCGGTGAGTCCCACACGTCGTGCGTAAATGCATTTCCCAACGTAAAAAAAAAGTGCCTAACATATGTAATATGTTCCGTAAATTTTAGCTTTTCTATTCAATTCGGAATGAAGAGTGCCTAACGAGTGAGTGATTATATGAAGCCTGACAAAAATCAGTACAACATATTTTAATATTCTTACGTGATTTTTTGTGGTTCTTTCCAGGTGGCACATTAGATGTTTACAAAAGTGATATATAAAAGTTAGTAGAATTTTCTCATCATATCGATAAATACTTTGCCATCACTAGAGTAGTTCCAGTAGAGTACTAAGAAATTACGAATCATATTAGATATTACTTAATAAACGGACATATCATGAAAGTTATAAAAGGACATGTCCATATTTTGTATGGGCGAATGTTTATCTCAGATCAAGATAGCATTTCTTTAAAGAATTGAAGATAGCATTTAGGGATACTATTGTTGTTGCATTATTAGAAAATTTTTTGTAGAAAGCTGTGTTATGTGACGACAACAATATGGTATCTCGGAACGACTCGGCATGAAATCGGAAAGAATTTTCGGAAAGAAAATTCGGAAAGATGTACTGAACGCTGGTTACGTAAATTTCGTCTCATATAGAAATAAATCAATTTATAATATGATAATACAATAAGTTTTCTTTGGGCAAAAAGGAACACCTTATGAAAATATAGTGCAGGGGACAATATTACTAATAAATTATGTTACTATTTAATATATCGTCGAACCACTAAGCTTCTTTAGTGATTGAAAGAAGTATTGACTAATATTTAACTCATATAATAATACAACTGAGCCGTAAGTTTTTTATCTCTTTTCATTTAATATTATATTACATTATGAATAAGATTTAAGCTAAATTAATTAGTTTTACAGGATGTAGGAAATGATTACAGGCTCCTCCCTGTTTCCATGTTATACGTGGGCGTTTTCGTGTCACTGTGTGTTAATATCAATTAGCGCCCCTACCAAAGTTTTAATTTAAAATAATTAAAATTAAATTATAAATTCAAAACACCCTCTATTGAATAAGAATAATACAACCACATTTAAGATACTAATGTAATTTATGAAGTCGTTATCAGTGAGGAGGTTGTCATCGGCTCGCTATGTATAATGTACTGGATTACCACTCAAGTTATAGTAGCTTTTAAATGTTGAGTTTACGTGTTTCTAATAATATATTACAATAGCTATCGTAAATAAAAGTTTTGCCTGAATTCAAGAATTTTTTATCTATGAGAGGAACAACTTTTTGACCAAGTTGTACACAAGAACATAGTAGTTGTATTTTACTTATATATTTTTAATTATAATTTGCTTTGTTTAGATGTACCTAAACTGTATTAAATTCGAACTTTGGTTCCGTCTAGAGTTAAGATTTCCACTCGATTATATGAAAAACACAATTATACACACAATAATATGAAAAATTATATCATAATAATTGCAAAGATTAAAATATTAAATAAGTTAAGTATAACATATAATACATATTCACCAGTACAAATAACCTAAGATGACTTATTTTAAATGTAATAATTACTAACTTTTAATATAGTCAAATAAATGAAGTAATAAAATATATTTTATTTAAGTTCCTAGTAGGGGATTTAAGGTAGACGTAATTCCGTATATTGGAGATGAAAGCTTTGTGAGCACATTACTGGTATCTACGCGCTAGTGTGCGAGAGATACGCTTTTATACAGAGTGTTATTGAAACTTGTTTATATTTATAAATATTTATATTTGATTGTCGTCATATTGTAACGGGCTGTGTACCAATGGACTTTACGTCTTTGCTATAAGTCGGGTGTTCGATTTCTTACGGTGGTAACATTTGTGACAAATAGATGTCAGTAGATGGTGATATTATATTAAAATATTTATTGTTGTTATTAAGTAATTGTCTCATTTAGATTAAAATAAAGTGTTGAGCTCGTAATATCGTCATAGTGCATTGATTATGTATGGAGAAAAAAGTGAAAAGTGATTTACAAAATGAAAGCCTGACTAAGAATGACTATGATTGTGGCTAAATATAAAATTGTAGCTAAGTAAGAAGAGATCCAATTTCTCAAAATTCATCATAGGCGCTCCTATTTATTACTAATAGTTATAAAATAGATTAATTAAGTAGGCTTTTGTTTAATTATTTTATATCACTCTGTATATTGATATAGTGCCCTATTTTCATAATGATGTCAATGAAGCAATGTTGAATTGTGAATTGTTTTATACTAGCGTGAAGAAGTAACAAATATACACAAGCGCACGTACGCAAAGTTAGGGGTGGCTTTGTCATGGGCTAGCTACATCGAGTCTTTAAATTAAGTTGAACATTCAAAAATGTTTGTAAACTCATAATTATATAAAACTATACAAAACACGGATGAAGTAGTGTACGTGGTCGGTACTATACTTAACTACTAAATAGAACCATTATGAAGGATGTGTACGAGCTTTTCCGGTCTATCGCGACTCCGTTCTATCTCCCTTTCCATACAAACCAGGGGTCACGTATACTGGTCACATAACTCTAATATATGAGCGCATCCAACATGAGTTCCTCGAATTTTACCTTCCTATACAAACAGTGGGTTACGTTTACTGGTCATTTATGGCTTACCTTAAGCACAGTATGTAACGTGTGCACAAGCGCGATGGGCGGCTGGTGCGCGGCGTGGCGTAGCAGCGCGGCTACGGAGCTACGCCACGCGTCGCGCGCTACGCCGAGGCCCACCGCGGGCGCTACGATGCCCGCTCCCGGCACTGGCGTCACGTCGCCACGATCTCCTTTAGGTTTAATTAATTTTAATTCATCCAGATAATGTTCTATACTGTATTCGCCGAATGAACCAAACACTGACTTTTTGCGCTTACACAAGATTAGTTGCTTAGGCCGCGATTACAATGCAAGTCATAATTACTCCGTCGTTGCATTCCGTACCGTTCAGACGTCTCTCGTGTAGTTACCTCATTTATTATCAATGTAGGAGATGCCAGTGATACAACGGTAAGTGAAAATTAATAAATAATGTATATAAATATTTAAAATACAGTTAATTTCACTTTAATGTCGATTTTATTTAATTACAAATTATTAATAATTCCTCACTAACATATTAGCAACATAAACGAGCTCTATGATTTCAAACCAGTAGCAAGTGTTAATGGGCTGAGCTTAAACACTTTTCTGTCCTTATCAGTTTGTATGCTAATGTGGGACAGAGAAAGCGCTTTGAATTGTTCATTCCATGAATAGAGAATAGTGTAGTTTTATTTTAGTGGTAAAGTGTAAGAAAATATTAAATATTATTTTCTGTACGACAAAGCTTACTCTATGTTGATATCGTCTTTATACATAAAAATGTTTGGAGGAATGAGCGATGACATGTAATAAAAATTAAAAGTTTCTAAAATTTTCACCCTCCTCTGTTTAAAAATGCATCACTGAAAAAAAGTTGTAGAATATTCATGACAATGATAGATGTAAACGCTTGATGAGCATTATGCGTTATTATAACGTGTTTTGCCGTAGGAATTACATAATCTGCAATAAAAAGTATCCTATGTTACGTTATCAAAAATTACGCTAATCCGTCACTGTTCCGATGTGAAAAAAGGACAAGCAAACACACAAAGAAACAAACACTTTCTCATTTATAATATTAGTATGGATTTTTATAACACCGAAAGTCCATTACTTACCATCCGGTTCCCCGCTCGATGCGCTAGACAGTGAGTGCGCACGCGCACGCAGGGCCAACTCATGAGCGGACCCCACGTCCCCGTCCCCACCATCTCCCCGGGCTCCCTCGTCCCACCCGCCTTCCTCGTCTGAGGAGTCTTCACCCTGTATAAAATACTCATGTATATTTATCTCTTTAGTAGTTTAATAGCTTTTTAGCTTTGATTTGACAGGCATTAAGGGCGCACTGAGGCAAATATTATAATATAATACTATGATTGCGTTCGTTTGATGCCTTGCAGTATTGTTATTACTAAAACTTTAATTATGTTATTAATATGTAGGATATTTAAGGATCTATTCTACAAATCGTACACTTTAGAAACACGATTACTTGTAGTTTCAATACGGCAACTTTAAAAATAACTAACTTTCTTTAAGATTTTGAATAAGCATTAATTTCAAGTTTTAACCTAAATGGATCAAACTTTATTTTGCATTACACTATACTGTTTTGCAGGTTGAATTTTAAATGTTTCTACGTAGTCACCCATGTCACAGGCGAGCTGTTAAAAAATCACCTTACTCCTTACTAGATCGTTATTTCTATTTTTATTTGTTATTGCGGCTATTATGTGTCACTGCAACTATTTCTGGTCTATTGTGATCGCCGCTTTTTTTATATTAGAGTGAACCACTAAAACCTGTTGATGTTAAGAACTGCAGGATTTTCTTAGGGTTACACTCTTTTATTTCATGTAGGCTTAAAAATTGTCTTCCTAAATGAATACTGCGTTTGTGCATGAGCGGTCCACATTCCTTCAGAAGATGAAGTGGCGTTTCGTCTGCCTCCATGCATACTCTGCAGGTTCGCGTTTCGCTCAGCCCCAAATTGAACATGTGCTTATTTAAGCAGCAGTGTCCAGTAAAGACCCTTACCAGTATTCGTAAGGTTTTTCTGTGTAGCGCTAGCATAAGATTGTTAAACCTTTTGTCGGAGGCTCTAATTAATGTCTTGGAGTGAATCATTCCATTTGATTCAGTCCAAACCTTGTTTGCAGTCTTGAGACATACTATCATTAGGGTTCTTTGAGCTAGGCTCTTAGGTATTCCGCAGAAGGACTCAGGATCTTGCTGCAATATAATGCATACCAAGAGCTCCCTCTCTATACCAGATCGTTAATGAATTTGTTCAGAAAAATTAAATACATAGATATAGAAAAATACAAACAAAAAGCATCCTCACGGTCTTGGTGTGTCTATGGTCGGTGTGGTCTGCGTGGTCGTGGTGGTCGTGATGGTCGTGGTGGTCATGATGGTCGTGTGGTCTAGAGCGTGCGGGCGGCGGGCTGCGTTCCGGGGCGCCCTCCTCGCGCTCCTCGCTCAGCAGACGCCTTCGGACGCCCCAGTTGAAGTTGTCTGAACTTTCTCCCTGTATAAAAAATAAAAATTACTAATGCTGAGCTCTTACTATATAAATAAAGCGTACATCGAATTTCAAATCATCTCTATAATTACTTTAACTCTAACCAAATGGTACACTTTAAAGTCACTATCTACATTTTAAAGTTACACAGTTACACTTGTTAAGATGAGTTCTTAATTGAAATTTATAAAGGTTTACGGTTAATATTCATTGAAAAATAAACACGAAAAAGTCTACGCCCCGATCGAGTTCGGCATTATATTGATAAGCCGGTCAATTATGTTAATTATGGATACGATAAATAACGTCAGAAAATAGATTTAATTAGCTTGAAGCTATACCCCTTAAAGTATGTGACAACGTAAAGCATATCAAAAGCTATCTTACTTTTTTTAATAAAAATAACACATTAAAAACATTCAAAAACCATAACTATAATATACATATATAATAATTAATCTATTCTATTAAATATTTTTAATCGATGAACATACCTCAATACTCTCGCTTTCATATTCCAAAAAATCGAAATCTTTAAATACTCCGAAGTGGTCCGTAGGCGGCGCGCCGCCCGATGGCTCATTGCCCGGAGTTCCAGAAACCTCTTCTAGAGATGACGCCATTGACGACTCGCGCTCTAACAGCTCCGAACTCTGACTGAAGATCACCTGAGAAACCAGCATCATAATGATAACAGACGTATTTAACGTAGTCTTTGTTTTTAATATTAAAATTACTTCAATAGAAATAATTACTATTTTATAATTATTTTATTGTTTACTAACTACATGCACTGATATCGATTTTTATAATTAAATTTAGAATATTATATACTTTATAATATTTTTAAATAGTATGTGCCGATTAACTGAACTGTGCGTAGTTGCGTTGCTCGTGCTATATAGCCATTTCCGTAATGGTGTTTAGTATTTTTCGTTTCTACGCTTACATTTTTAGAAAAAACTCCCAAATTGTGCTTTATTATTTAGAAATTAAATAATAATTATATTATTATAAAATTTATTTTCCACAAACACATCTTTTATGCTATAATGTAAGCCAATTCTATAAATAAAATAAATGTTGTTTGTTTATGATAAATCTATCTATATTCTATACTTACTAGACCTCGGGAGCTAATAGTTAGCTGCCCTGTGAATTGAACACAAAGCGACTATGCAAAACAAGTTTTGTGAAGCTCGTCAACACAGATGTATAGCATGTTACATGTAAACTGGGATGTATACTGGGAGTATCTTCGAATTATCCGGCACGAGGGACCAAATAAAATTACATTATTTTACTTAGATTTTATTATAAGTTATTATAATATATTATATATTTATTATATTATATTTTTAAATTTTATTAATTATGTCAACTTTTATTTATGACTAGCCGAAGATACTACCAGTAAATGGTGGAGAACGAGTTACATCATTAGGATGAGAAGGGTAAAGCCATGTAAATACGTTCGTCACCCAAAGCGGCGCATTTGGGTTATGGTGAGTGTATGACTCTGTATGTCTATCTGAGCCTCCAATATAGCGTGCGAAAGCATAATTTAATATATGTAGCTTTACCTTGGAACATAAAGTGGTAATTAAATCGTCCTATGTCAGCCATGGATAGAAATATCATTATTACTTCCTGAATAAACCGATCGTCATAGTTGTTAATGTTAGTAATGTCTTCATTACTGATATATTTTATAACCTCTTGTAGGGCTTAAAGCGCTTTTGCCTGGAGCGAGTACGACAATAGCTTAACGTTAAACCTTTAAATAAGAATAATTTAGATTTTGTATCGTTCAGCTATTGAGGTTTTTTGTTAATGTATAGTGTACAAGACCCGGCGTATACAGACTAAGTACACACATGCTTTGTACAGTTGATGCTATTAAGTAATAATTTAACAAAAATTAAATTAAACATATAAAATAACAATAAATAGGCTCTTACAGATGGACTCTTTGGTAAGCCGACTCTTTGGCCACACGTCGTTAGAAGATTGACGAGACATTCTCGAACTCGACTCTGTTGAAAATATATTATTAGTTTACTATAAATATATGTAAAAAGATGTTTTTATCTATTATTCTGTAAAAAATTAAGTATAATACAAAAAAATATTTTACACATTAATACATGGCAATGGTGACACTAGACTTTTAATTGAAGAAAGCTTTGAGTTTAATATCCGTGTCCGTTGCAGTAAATATTTTTTGATTGCTGTTATATGCTAATTAAGATGTCATGGGTTGAATCTCTCGTTTCGAATGTTTTTTGTAATAACAGTATTTGATAAAAAAAAATCTACACAAGTAATCTTGCGATCATTACGAAGAATGTTCATGAGAATGACATGTTCAATCGCCATGATCGCTTATTAGAATAAATATTTTATAATACTTATTATTTACTGAAACTCCGCTGGTCTACAAAATCGTCACCCAACCCGGTGATAGCCACATGGACTTAAACATTTAATGTAAATATGGGTTAATTAAAAAAAAAACTAGCAAAAAAGACCATTAATTAATGTTTCTTTTTAACAAAACTATGGAATCAATGAATTAACATGAATATTAATTTATACTCTTACACAGATTAAATAACAAAAAAATATAAGTAAATATAAGTTTATTAAGAAAAAAAACTAGCAAAAAAAACATTTCTTTAATAACGGAATGATTAACTCCATGAATGTTGATTCATACTCTAGCACAGATTAAATAACAAAAAAATATCTTATTATAATTATTATTATTATGTAATTTACCTGTGACATCCAAGGCCTCTTCCATCCGGAGGCGAGCGCGTCAGCGGGCGAGAGGGACAGCGAGCGGCGTGGCGAGGCCGCGCTGTGCGGTTGGCTCGCGCCGCCCGTGTCCGCTCCCACCACGGTCGACGCCGACACAGATGTCGACGACCCTGCTGTCGTACATGTAACCATGTAAGCTTATATCATCATATTTAGAAATCATTATTTCATTGACAAAATCATTTTTCTCTTATAAATATTTTATATATATCATAAATTCAATAAAACTATCTTTTCGGTTTTAGTCACGGATGTAATTTCACCGTTCTAAAAATGTTCATTATTATTACTATTATAGCGTTCTATTTTATTTTTATTTATTATTGCATTAAATTTTACCCATTTAATATTGTACCTAGGAACGAAAACGATGAGCGACTAGTCTATACTAATATTATAAATGTGAAAGTGTGTTTATTTGTTTTTTGTTTGTCTTTCTGTCACGTCGAAACGGAGTGACGGATTGGCGTGATTTTTCGTGTGGAGATAGTTGGAGGGCTGGAGAGTGACATAAACTAGTTTTTACCGCGAGAGATTTTTAATTCCTATGGGAAAACACGTCATAGTACGATCCAAAAATAAATTTATGATCAGAATTACTTGAAACTTGGTATTAATGTTCTCCAATAAAATTAAATAAATCGTGTTTTAGCATTTTTGGAAATTTATTCTTTAAAGGGATAAAATATGAATGTTTGTATGAAATTAACTTTTTAGACCATTTTTGTAGATTTGTGAAGCCGCGGGTTCTGCTAGTAATATATAAAGTGCATATATTTATGTATACCTTTATCGGGAGTGGCGATGGACGCATTGGACAGTGAGCTCGGGCCGGTGGCGGGCTGGCTGCCGCTCTTAGGCAAGTACTTTCGCCCTATTACAGGGGTTTGGGACAGATCGAATGTGAAGTCCATTGTGCGACCTGGTAATTCCTGGAACAATTATATATATTTAAATTTAAAATCAATTTGTATAGTATTAAATTATTGCAATTTTTTACTAAACGTCTTTAATGTACCACCAGTTCAGAAAGACAGTCAATTTATTAATAAAAAGCAGTTTTTGTCAGCTGCTCCACTAGAATGGTTTGTACGTCGATAAAATTAAATGAAAGATAATTAATACAGAATATAATAAAATTTCCATTTTGAATTTTACCTATATTTGTTGAGCGGTTACAGATTGAAACATTAACAAACAAACTAATTATTATGATAGCGAGTGAGTGAGTAGAATTTAACTTGTAACATAAGACGTTATTTAAGACATAAATAAATAAATCACAAAAAACTAACATACCTTTTTCCCATGTAAATCCGTATCTAAGATAGACGAGGTGTGTTCCCAGTGTGGCGGCACCACTAGAGTTGAGCACCGCGTCACTACTAGCTTTAGGATCTTCATTGCTTCCTTGTAGTTGTTGCCGTCTTGCTGTGTTATAGATTAAAACAACGTACGTATAAATAACGTCTATTGCAATGGTCAATAACAAAAGGTTTTTGTCTTTGTCATGTCAATTAAGGTTTTTTTAGGACATTAATACACAGCGCCATCTAGTTCCATGGTAAGCTACGAGGCTTGTGTTATGGATACCAGATAGTCGATACACTACACGTATATAACTTTAAATACATACATATTATAAATATAAACACCCGTGACTGGAGTACAAACATTCGTGCTCAACACACAGACGAATGCCCCCAGCGGGACTCGAACCCGCGACCGCTGGCACAGCAAGTAAGGTCATTACCAACTGAGCCAAACGTGTCGTCATGTTTGGACTTTAAATTTTATTACTATTAATAAAATTTCAATCAATCTTCTCTCTTGGTGCCCATCATCAAATGAACATGATGATATTAAAACATTGTATTATCATTCAAATTTTACAAACATTCACACACAAAATTTCAAGTTGATGCAACAATTTCTAGATCTACTTTCATAAAGTAAAAAGTGAAGCTTCATTATTAAAAAAAACTCGGTTAGTGTCTTGGGACATGCGGTAGGAACCAAGTTCCTTTCGCCATCTGCCTTTAGCTCGTAATATCTGGTGACAATAATTGTCTCGAGTACTAGGGATCAAAAACCCCAAGAAGTGTCCATAATATATGTAGGGCCCCGTCATATGAGTGCATACGAACAATTTATTCCATACAATCCTCAACACTTATGCTCGCCTTGTACTTGTGAATACGTTACATGGGGTGCTCTTAGTACATAATAAAGAGTGTCGTGACGGACGAAATATTCCACTTGTTTCCGTCTAGCTCTCATTCGCCAAGTGTGCCGAGTATAATATGCGATAAAGAACTTCGTTCAATAAAAACTATCACAATCAGCAAAAAAAAAAAAAACAAAAAAAAGCATACAAACAGACAAGAACAGATGACTCACGTCAATGAACTTGGCGACCGCCCGCAGCAGGTCCGCGTTGACCGCCTGCGCGGCCGGCGCGTTGAGCTCTACGTAGTACAGCATACAGTGCAGGATCGATAGTACTGGCAGTTGGAGGTTCACTGCACCCTGGAATCGTAATTAAATATGAAAAAAAACTTACTTCTATTTATGTATTTGTACTCCATCTATACTAATATTATAAATGTGAAAGTTTGTGAGTATGCTTAGATGTTTCTTACTCTTTCACGCTAGAACGGCTGAACGGATCTGGATGAAATTTGGCACAGAGGTAGATTATCGTTTAGAACAACACATAGGCTACTTTTTATCCCGGAAAAATATACGGTTCCCGAGAGGGAAATTCTCTCATATTATTCAGAATTTTGAAATTCGTTGAGCTAATATTAAGAGGTAACAAATACACTCACTTCAAGTGAATCACATATCACTCAACAGCCAAACTATCAATATGGAAAAATCACTTCGATCTGTTATTGTGTAAAAAAATATAATAAATCCAAAGATACTATCCTACATAATTAAGTAAGATTATTTTTGTTCATTAATAGGTTTACTATGAAAAAAATATATTTTTTAATATTTTCTTAGATTTTCGCAAATATTTGACGTTTTAAATAAAACTTTCTTCTCGGAATTTTCCTCGCATTTATTCAGATTTTTCAATTGTAGAATATTTCATAGCAATCATGGTCACGGGAGGGACTAAAGTTTTCAACGTCTCAAATGTTTGAGAAAAGATAGTTTTATTTAAAATGTATATTTTTTTCATATTTAGAGATAATAAGTTCATGTAAAAACAGCTTTTTGGTATTTTAAAAACTGTAGCGAATAAACGAGAGTATTAAATAATAAAAAATTACAAAAAAATATATATGGAAACGTCAAACATTCGGCTTACCTTCTCTAATACTTCAACCAAGAACGCTAACATTTGTAGGGACAAGTGCGAGTAGGTGTCCCAAAGATACTTCACCACGCATTTGGTCCATTGGAAACTCTCTTTACTGAATGTCCTCCGAGAGTATAGGGTCATCACTGTGCCTAAGTTCTCTAGTTTCTTACTTTTTTCTGCTGTGAACTGTAAAAAAATATACGTTAGTAAAACATATTCAATTGAAGTGAATTTTTAGGGTTAATAAAGTTCCCGTCACAAAGTATATGATCATGAGCAAGAAAGTTTCTGAATAAAAAAAAACTGTCAGTGTCACTGTCCGCCCTTGGCTCATACATTAACTCATGCACATTGTCGCGAGTACCAGGATAGCATAGACATCGAGCAACAAACATTGTACATGATGCAGCTCAACGAAGAAAAGCCTGCACAGAGTGCACACGAATTTCTTACAACATATACTCCTCAACACGCTATTGTCACGAGTACTAGGAGATCACGAATCTCAAGGAGCGCTTCTTATACCTATATGTAGGACTCACATAGGATGCTCTTAGTGAATAATAAAGCATAAAATAACCTTTTTCGTTACGTAACCTTTTTTGTTACGTGTTTATGTGTCAACTCCCACCACAAGCCGCGTTAAATAAGGAGCTTCGTTCAAAAAGTCCACCCTACCTGAGCAATATGGCAGGCTGCGCGTACGCACAGTTCGTTCGCGTCCTCGTAGTGGAGCAGCATGTAGGGCAGCAGGGCCACCACCGTCATGGGGAAGGCCAGGGACTGGGTAGGGTCGATAACGGGCAGCTCGAGCAACGGGATCACGTCGACGAGCACCCCCACTACGGGCTCGTATGTGTTGGGGTGGGTACAGCCCTAGAAAAATGTTCGTACATTTATTAAAGACAATTTTTTTGTTTTTTTTTACATCATATTGATTATATTATTGTTTTTTTACATCAAATAGACATATCTAAGAAAAATATAATATGAAATACTCTATATATAGTGTAAATTCTTGATGTCGTTTAAGGGCTGAATTGTTTATAATCAGATAAATATTATCCATAGCAACAAAAAATAATATTAAAAAGAATATTTAGACTAATTAGCCGTTATTCAATTTGATAAAAATGGAATTTTCACAGTTATTTTTGATAAAATATGATATTTTTAAACATATTGTATAATTAAACTAAATGTTAAGATAGACTATACTCATATTAACCTACTGAAAAGAATAAAAAATAACTATTCATATAAAAGCATATTTTATAATTGCAAATGTTCTTATGGAAATGGACAATTACGCTAGACTTTACATAAGTATCAATTACAACCCAAAACATAAAGTGAGTTTACCTTCAGTAGCAAAGAGTGGAGTGAAGATGGTCCATGGGTCCCATGGGCCTGGGTGCGGTCCAATCGCTCTCGAGCGTCAGGCCGGTCCAGAGGCAAACGGGCCATAACTCGAGATAACAATCTCACTCCTAGTAGGAATTCGTGTTCATAGTCCGATTCTAAGAGAGACGCTCCCACCCAAAATAGTGTCGCTAAGATCGTTAGTTTGTCGTCCTGTTGATGAATTATTTCGATTTAAAATATAATAACATTATATAAGTATATACACTATACTTGTTTATCTAAGTGGACCAGAGATTCGATTTCTGTTTAAAGTAAATATATTAATAAATGTAGATTTTCCAAATATATTTTCGCAGTGCACTACGTGCGTTACATGGCACATGGAACTTACAGATAAATTTTATTTTAATGTGTTAAAAACGAAATTTAATATAATTTAAGAGTTTTTTACTCAGTCAGTCTTTTAAGAATTTTTTACTCAATCAGTTTCTAGTTACAAGAAAATTAATTTAAATATTATATCTATACCTGTGTAGCCGTATCTCCCAAGAGTTTGAGTGACTGAGCGGATCTTGATCGACATAAGTTTGAGCAGACACCTTTCGACGAATCACAAGTCCTCGTACGAGGTTCTGTGGTAATATATATATATATATATATATATATATATATATATATAACAATAATTCATAATTGTAATCAAAATTACAATTAATTTTAATTTCCATTTTATTTGCATAGCAAAGTGTAATAATAAAGATACATATATAGTGATGTCATCGTTGAATACTGAAAACTGCTACTACTGACCAAAGAATATAAGCAATGTAAGTACGTTTTAATAAAGAAAGTAAATACCAAGTACTACGAGCATTTCGCGGATAATTGATAATGAAAATTCGACTAAACCGATAGTACTATATTATCTACACTAATATTAAAAAAACTTTTTAACAAAAAATAAAAACCGACTTCCAAGCACTAAAATGTAAATAATAACTAAACGGAGGTTTTCATTTAGAATAGATACCTAATCAGATATTTTCGAAGTCGGTGCCAGCCGATGCAAAGCAAATCTAATGTATTTCAATACGTAAAATACATATTGTCGGCTGATTTTGACATTACAAATGGACACTCCAATTTTTTTTTATTTTTATAGATAATTATAAATAAACACAATATTCATACCGTGAGGTGTCTTCTCAGAGGAGGCGGGTGTGTTTTTGCGCATGCAGTAGGACACCGAATAGCTCGTGCTGCGCGTGTGGTTGCTCACACAACCCACGCACACGCCCGGTGACCGCTTGCCTAATTATGTTTATATTGCTATTTAATAATCAAACATATTATATAATATGTTTGCACAATATACGTTTAAACCACGGCGGCCAATCTTACTGAGACTAGCCATCTGTGCAGTGCTGTATTTACACTAGCGGCACTCGGGGCTAGTGCCCAAGGCGGCAAATTTTTAGGGTCGGCAAAATTCAGAGGGTGGGAAAAAATTATCTTTGCGTTATCGAAAATGCTTTTTTTATTTTCCAAAAAATGATAGTTAAAAAAAGTAGTAAACTAGTACATTTTTTGAAATTTTGAAATCATTTATAAATTAATTATGTTTTGCATTTTTCAAAAAAATAGTTAAAATCAAGAAAAAAACAACTCAGTGACTTAACTTGGCCCCGATCGGGACTCGAGCTCAACACCTCCGGATCTGCGGCATGCGTACATGCTAGTCTTTAGACCACCGAGGCAGTAAAACGAACGTGTAAATATGTAACATAACACAATATCCGTGTATAAATCGTGGTCTTATGTAGTAGAGGTACTACTACAATACTGTATATACGAGCACATATATGCGCCAAGGAGTGTTGTTGGGTTCGCGAATATTCGACAATAGCTCACGTAAACACAAAAAGTAAACGAGGCGAGTGTCCTCCAGTCAGGTAGTTAGAACTTACAAATTATATTAAGTAGAAATATGAAAATATTACTAATCTCAACGTAAATAATAATCCTCTTAAATTCTTTCATTAATCGTCTTAATATAAAACAAAATATCTTAATGGTCTAAACCATTTCAAAGGGAGACAAAGTACACGATGTCATATTTTTGAGTGTGACACAATTAAAATGACTAGATTTATAATTATTTTAACTTTTAATCTTCAATATTTGGTTCATACATCATTATAAATGAAAATATATAATTATTCTAAAGAATCTCACCGGCTGTATAAACATTTCCATTGGGTTGATGTTGACCACCGTCTTTATTATTCAAATTCGGTGTACTTTTGAATATGTCCCGCATATAGTCCAAGGGTCTAAAGTTCGATTCCAGCGAGTCCACAGCAGCCTCTAGTGTCAGCAGAAGTTCTGTGACATATCCCTGCATGTCTTCGCCTTGTTCCGCCACAGTCTCTACTAGACGGGAAAGAATATCCGACACCATACGACCGGTCATTGCGACACCGATGAAACGGAACACCTTTATAAAAAAATATTGATTGGTTATCTAAAGCAATTCCTAAACTATCAAAAAATATTTATAGTTACGTAAATGTGTAATGAGTGTAACAAACAGACAAAATATGTACGCACAATGCGACATGTGATAAAATACGTAGAAATTATATACATATATGTAATACGAGTATAGTTTCAAATATACACTACACGGATATAAAATCAGCGATAGCTTTATGTAAATTATTGTTTCAATAGACTGACGTCGTACAGAGGCAATTTACATATTATCAAGCGAATATTTACAGAAATTATCAAACATTAATTATGAACCGACTATAGAAAAAAACAAACAAATCATAATGTCACACCTGTAGAGATCTTCCTGCATAGTGCCTTGAAGGGCATGACAGTCCCAACTGCAAGGCGGTCTGTGCCCACCTCTCCGATATTAAAGCGTGCGGTAGTGACTCTCGAAATATACGTAGCGTGTGTCGTAATAGTGTCGCCATCTGTTGGCAACTGCGGAGACTCCATACTGGATGGGTAAACATTATCTATTGAATAATGGGACATAATGTCTTAATATATATAATTCTTCTGTACGTGTGTTTGTCATCTTACTCCTCCTAAAGGGCTGGACCGATTAGGATGAAATTTTGTGTGTATATTTCAATAGGCTCCTGGATTTGAAAACACAATTGGACCCGGTAGGTGGCGCTGCTGTCAGTGTGTCAAAGAGTTAGTTTTTTTAGGAATTAGAACACGGGCGAAGACGCGGGTACTGCTAGTATCGTATAAGTATATACGTAATATAGTAGTAATAAGTGATTTGAAATTGTTGTTAAGTGATATTGCGTATATATTATTTTTTGCATAGTAATTTCATACAAATCATTTGTTAGCAATATATATGTATGGAAGTAAAAGTGTCATCATCTAGTAATGACGATAGATAGCATAGAAAAAGAATAAAATGCTATTTGCTGCAGCAGGTCAGGAAAGTCTTTAAATACAATAATATAAGTAAAATTCACTTTTAAATTTAATAAAAAACGATTTTTAAAAGCTGAAGAAAATTCCTGAAGACATGAAAAAACCTGAAGAAAACTAATTAAGAAAACTAGTGTCGCCACCTCTTTCAATGTTTGTAATACAATTTGGGGTTACCCTACTAATTAGATGTTGACTTAAATATATATATATTTTAATGTATTTGATTATAACAATGGTAAAATTATTTGCATTACATAGATTATAAATATTTTGACACTGAAGTTATGAGATTATAATTAAAAATAATTTTTAAAATGTTCTATTGTAATCTATCTATTTTTGTAACTCTATGGTCTTAACTACTTATATTAATTAACAGTTAATTATATACGCAGTATCCTGATTTCAAGTTGTTACGTCGCATGGCTTACTGAATAATAGAATAATCGGCGATGGAAATTAGCTTTATGTCATCTGCTCACACAAAACTAATGAATGGATTTTGATGAAACTTTACAATAATATAGCACATGCATCAGAACAATACATAGCCTACTTTTCATTTCGGAAGAATGTACTGTTTCCGTGGGATACATTTATTTCTGTTTATCTAGTTGTTTTTCGCTAGTTATATATAAAAAATACTTATGGGTATTTTAACATGATCTTAATGATTTTAAATAAAACTTTTCGAATTATTTTCGCGGATTTATTTTTATTTTTGGTTCCCGACATTTCGAATGCTTTACATCAATCATGGTCACGGGAGAGTTTCTTCCGTAAAGGTAAATCAAATAATCATGTCAATCTAAGAAAGTATTATACCCTTAGCAGTGATATCTTCGTATTGCCATAGGGCCATGTGGGTGGGCCGGCTCGCTAGGAAGTGCACCATGGATTTGATCGCGTCGGCCACGGGGAGTTCCGCCGGCGGGGCTTCGCCCTCTATCTCGGGCTCCGGCTCCGCCTCGCCCGTCACAATCACTGGTAAGGACGGGTAGTTATCTGCTTCACCTGTTATATATTTTTTGCATTATTTATTTATTTTATTTATTTATATATAATTAATTAATTACATCAACAGCTTATTGTACTATAAACAGCACTTTATAAACAAGTATTTAAAAGTCCAGCTAACAATGTTTAAGTAAACACTACCCTCCGTACTAGTTTAACTGTATGACGGTAGGTTAGTATTCCTCGTACGCATGTCCACTCGCTTATTACAGTATGAGCAAATATTTAGAGAGCTTTAACTTAATTAACATTTATAAAACTTTGTTTTTGTTATTCTATTTGCATATGTGTACTGTATGTATTACGTATGTATATATGTATTTATGTATATGTGTAAATGTGCGTGTATGTATGAACATAAGTATGAATGTTTGGTTATGTATGTATATTGTATATATTATAATTATTACAGTAAAAAAATTGTATTAATATTGTAGAGCTTCGATTATATTATTGACTATATTAAACGCCTAACCAAAAATAAGAAAAGGAACGAAAAAGAAAATCATACTTATATCAAATTTATTCTTTGTAAAAAAAAAATTATTCAGTTTTTATAAAATTTTCAGTTTCATTATATTTTAGTCTTTTATATATATATATATATATATATATATATATATATATATATAATGTTTTATATACCTTCAGGTGTGACTTGGGGGTCCGAAGACAAGGACCGGACGTGGGAACGCGGCGAGTGGCCGCACTGAGGGAAGTTGTCGAACACTGCGTCTGGCTCTTTTAGAGAAGAATTAAAATAATATTTAATATAGAGTCAACAAATACTTGTAGGGGAACAATATTTTATTTATGTATTCACATTATTAATTAAGAAAATATTATTCATTTGTAAACTATATGTAAATTAAAATTATAAAATATACAAGCTATGTACAAATAGAAATCGCAAATGAAAATTAAAAATATTTAAAATTGTATAGTAAAAATAATTAACGAACACTTGGACAAATGTATTAATTAGCATTGCATAATAGTAACTTAATCGCTATCGCTTGTGGACGGAGCCAACTGCCCGGCCGACGGGACGCCTTGGCCGCTGCAGCATTGCCACGCAGTCTGATCTTTGTCATCCGCTATTTAAATTCGCTTTTTCTTACAACTTATGCCATCTTCCTTTGTGTTATACGTTACGTGTACAAACTATCTTGTAAAATGTTGTCTTTCATTCCTTCTGTTTCTTCTGTCTAAATGTTATCTGTACGTAATTGGTGGTTTAATTTAACGCCCCTTTGAATAACTATATTTCACTTACTACCTCAACCACTACACATGTGCATATTAGAATTTATTTAATGGACTACTATAATAAATGTCGAAGTCTGTATGTTTGTGTTGTGTTAAACGTAATTTAGTACACAAATAGACTCTAACCTGGAGTAAAACATAAGCCACCGTTAGGCACGTAGGGGCGTAAGTAAGTCGTTAGTAAAATAAAAATTTATTTTGGGCACCTAAGGCCATCACCATTTAAATCTAATTAACAATGGAAATTAAAACACGATCACCATCACGATGCTTAAATCAAAAATAAATATTTTCCACGTAAGTAAAATTTACATATATATTATAATCGCAAAGACACACGAGTCGTCGGTGTCGAATATTACGCACGTATGGTACGTATGAGAAACAAAACCGGGAACAAGATACAATCGAATTAGACCGGGTTCGTTAAATGTAACCTTAAAACGATGAAAGATCGATTTTGTTAGAATGTATCGAACTTTTTTGAGGCAAGCTCTGAAATATTGAGTTAAAACGTAATGCTTTACTTGTGGGCAAGTGTATTTCTTGCATAATAAGTCTTTTAAAATTGTTCTTATACATAGAAACTTCATATATTTCTCTTCTTTTTCTCCCTGCTCATTTCCCAAGTTACTTGCGGTCGGCGCAGTAAATTTTCCTCTTCCATTCTCCCCTATTATTCGTCATCCCATGCTTCACTCCTTTATGTAGCCTAGTATTATTCTTTGGGTGCCAGCCGATACAAATCAAAGCACACCGCCTTTGAAAATATCTGATTAGGTATCTATAGTAAATGAGAACTACCAATCAGTTATTCTTTTCTTTTTAGTGTTTTTCTTCGAAGTCGGGTTTTATATAGGTCAAAGCTTATTGACCATTTTTAATCCAAAACAAACTGCTGGACCTAAAGTGCTAAAATTTTACATGAAAATCCTAAAATAGCATAGTCAATCAACGAAACACATTTCAGTATTTTCAGAAATACTAAATTATACAATAAAACACATATCGATGAGACAGATACAATTGGACGACTATAAATGCGAAACTTCGTATTTGTTACTTCGTCACGCTAAAAGCGATAAAATTAAGTACACAGTAACCTAACGTGGGAGTAGCCCAGGCTATGAGGAACATAGGGATGTCACTAGTTAAGTAATATTCATTAAAAAACCATTACCAAACATTATGAGGTTATAAAGCACTCATAGAGGGATTTATTTATTAATCCTTTATTACACCAAAATAAAAATACAATTTAAAAGAATATATAACTTTTAAAGGGATTTAAATAAATATAAATAAAATGGAAGTGTGTTTGTAATGTCAAAATAACAGCTTTTTACTAAATACATATGGCGCTTACAAGAAAAAAAACAACTATTTTTAAATATTTTCAGTTATCTGATGTTATAAGGAGTAACTTATGCTACTTTAATTTTAGAAAAAAAGGGTTTCGTGATAACAAGTGAATACGTATGAAATTGTGAACCAAGTCAGCATACCTAGGGGCGTACCTGAGATAAGTGTGGTTATGCCGCTAGTATTAACAAAAAAAAAAATAAGATTACCGGTAAAATTGTGAGGTGACAGAGGCAGGGGTGGCGGTGGCAGCCCTAGGCCGAGCTGTGCCGAGCGCGCGGCGAGGAGCACCCGCGCGACCGTTAGGTGGTCGTGGTGCGCCGCTACCGCCACCAGCAAGTTGAGGAGCAGCTGGCGGCAGTGCTGGTGGACTATCCATCTGTGTGTACATGAATATTTGGTTATCTAAAGTTTTATTTTACGGCATGTTTTCCCTGTATTGTTCATTAGCTATATATGTGTCACACAGCGTGGTAAACGACGACCTTATCTCCCTTGTATTGAAGGGAGGCCCGTACCCAGCAGTGGGACGTTCAAAAGGGCTGAATACATAAATACATATGTATGTGTGTGTGTTTGTATGGTTATTGCCGGATTGAAAAACCACCACCTCGATGGGCGGTGTGCTATGCTGGTTGCTCCTGGTAGGCTCTTTATCTATGATGTATAATTATATATCTATTTCTGTCACTTGACTTAGTCACCCAGTGATTAAAATGTAGTATTATAATAAACTCTTTTTCTTGAAATCTTCATATGAGAACACTATTCTAGATTCAGTTCCATAAAATTATCCTTGCACCATACATAACCATTTGTACATAACCTTCCTATATCATCTTAAAGTTCTTACAGACTAATTTCAGAGCAAACATTTTTATATAGCTGTAAGTCGTCCGCATAAAATTTATAATTAGAGTTAATAATGCAATATTTGGTATCGTCAAGAAAAATTAAGAACAGGATTGGTCCCAAATTAGATCCTTGAGGTACACCTAAGATTGCAGTAAACTCATATGGTTTATGTCCATTTATATTCAATCATCAATAAAATGTATAATCAACTTTGGTACACAATCAAAACATTTTTCAAATAAAATAATGTTCACTTACAATCAAATCCCAATAGCTCATATCGGAAACTATAGTGTGTGTACCTATAGTTGTAAAATATTTTTCACGAATGCAAAAACACAACACTCGCTCAACTTTGGATTTTTAATTATAACTTTAAATAGTCAATTTCAACGTTTCTAGAATTCGATTTTGTAAAATAGTTTTTGCAGGTCAGCAATTCTGTGGCTCGTGCTGCAGCGCGAACATAGCGAGGGCGACAATACAATTACTTCTTCTCTCACAGACGGTACTTTAACATGTGTGTATTGCATATGTGTATGTATGTTAATTAATAATAATTATTAAGTAATAATTATTTGATGGAAATTTCTTATTTATTTAATTTGATGAACAATTTGATTATGTATTTTCAATGAATCTTTGCAAACAACTTTCTAAGCATTTTATTACTATGGAAAAATAATAAATGTATGTAATTTATGTAAAGTACAAACAAAGATATTATTTCAGATAAAATATGATTATAATTTATTTCAAAAAAATTGAATTAATGCAAATGACATATTATGAAGAAAAGTTACATAAAACTGCTTTATTGTTTCATATACAATAAAATAATTAATATTGAATAAATATATGAATTAAGACAATCGCTTCAGACATTTCAGCCGTAATAGTGTTCAAATACCAGTACTGTTCCAAGCACCAAGCTAGAAAATACAGCATTCTGTAAAAAGTAAATACTCGTACATCTTATAACGTCCATTTTCATTGGAAATATCAATATTGCGATTGCAGTTTATTAACTGACTGTAAAAGTGAAAGATAAATATCTATAGGTCCTGTCTTCCAGGCTCAGATAAGGCTTCAGTGCCAGTAAACAAAGGCGTAGCGCAGCCGAGAGATGCTACTTATTAACTAAGACATTAAATTTTTATTTGTTATGCACTTTACATTATATTTTCTTTCATTTTTGCGGCTATATCGTTTCGCTGCGACCATTTATTGTCTATTGTGAGCAAATAATATAAATAAATACATTATTTTGCGCGCTCTTTGCGGTTAGTTTCAGCAAAGTTGTGTAATGGACATTTGGTTTCCTTTTATTATCCTTATTTACCATCAGTGGTAAGATCGGTTATATCGGCTAAGTAAATTCATAGTATGTATGTACGTTCATAAGTTTCATGTCTTGGTCTCAAGACGCCGGTTGTCCTGGTGATTTCGTTGTGTATTACGTGTTTACTTCTTTATCATCTTGTGTAGTTCAATTTGTAGTTCAACTTGTGGAAAATAAAATACAACTAATAAACTTAAAATAATTAAAATACTGTTACGTTGTATGAGTTCGGGGATCGGAAATTAAAGCCCCTCTTTCGCACTACTCATGTTTTATTGCTCTCGGTTAACAGGAGTGACTTATGGAGATTCGTTAACACGCGCAGTGTATAAGCCCACAGTTCTGGTTAAATTACGTCCCTGGACACTAATTTTCACTTTTTCCTACTTCTTCTCAATCTTCACTTAGCTTCGAAATTCAACTCATCTCTCTACACACTGTCAGCCCGTTTTACATGTATAAACAAAGAACATTCTAGTATTCGAAAATTGGAAAACATTCTAGTAATTTCGAATATTTTGTTCCTCTCTTACTCTTACAGGCGGCAATTTACAATTAACTGCTCTTGCCAGAATTTCGAAACTTCTAGTAATTTCGTTGCCTCTCTGGAAATGTTTTGTTTGTCTCTTACACACGGAAATTTACGATTAACTGCCCCTGTACTTTTCATGTGTTGACAACACGTCTTACACGTGTTACGTGTTGTCTTAGTACGAAGCCCGCTTCAGGCGTGTCTTTCAAATTATTATACTGGCGTAATAGCACTACACACTCTCCACTGCCACTGACATACAAAGGAAACTTTATAACTTTATGGCATCCGCCGCCTTGAGGGAAGCCAGTTGACAAGCTGTTCTAAGTTGCGCATCCGTTCAGGTGAAACATTATGATGCAATTTTATGTTTAATACATACCAGTAATAACTAAGTAACATAGTAAAATCTCATCACATAAGGATTGTGTGCTCTTAATTCCAGTTTATATTATTTTTACACTACATGGAATTATCGTTGATTAGAATAATTGTTGGAACATTGAAATAAAATTATTTATATGGATCAAGAACAAATATATTCACTAAAAAGGTTTTTTTTTATAAAGGTAAGTAAATCAGCTGTTTGTCAGAAAAACATTTTGAGATAACAAATAAGAAGGTTATAATTTCCAGTTTCCGTTGACACGGTGTTGTTGTTTGTTCCAGGGATGAAGTATTAATGAGCCAAATAAAAAAATTTGAGGACTGGAAGTCGGTTATTTTTTAAGTTTTTATTTTTACATTTTTAGTGTAGACGTAATAAGCAGGTAATTTGTAAGAAGAAAGTTTTTTAATAATATATTCGATTAAAATTTTTTGATAAAAAACATATTTATTGTTGTTTTTTTTGAAAACCGCTCGACTGATTTCGATAAAATTTATATGGGACCACCTGAGAAGTATACCTTTTGAAAAAAAAAAATCCAAATCGGTTCAGGCATCTTCGAGTAATCGGTGAAAATACAAAAAAAAAGATTCCGACCAATTGAGAACCTCCTCCTTTTTGGAATTGGAAGTCGGTTAAAAAAGGGGTGTTATTTATACTAATAATGAGTCGCATAATTAAAGTTTTAAAGTAAATTAAAGTCGAGCACTTATCAGCCGCCCCTCGTACATACATACAGGTTATACACAATTAATAATCCCACTTTGGGTTTCGCCGCATTCGGGTAAATATTTATTTATAACTATATTTATTTGGGTTAATGAATATAGTTTTAATATTGTTAGATTATTTATTTTTAGACAAATGTATTTAATGACATCGATTTTCCTCGTTATTAATATGAAAGAGTTAGACAGATGCTACCGCTCGTTCGTCAGCTTTGCTACACATCAATGTTCTCTTTGAAGTAATTTATGGAATTATTCTGATTCTCATATTTTTGTCAACCAACTTATGTTGTTATATATTATAAGTTACCTATTATGGTCCATTCCCAGGAACACAATATGTAGCATGAGTGGCACGTGGATGGACCAGTCCAGTTCAACGCCGTCGAGGACGACATCGCACAGCAACATCACCGCTACGTTACACCTGGAATTTTATGGATATTTACTTAAATATACAATAGCATATTACTAAGTAAAAAGATAATAATAATAATAGCAACTGATTGTCTATATGTTTCTTCGTGTTCCACAACTAGTCAGCATGAACTTCTTTAATGCTTATAGTATATACTATAAGCATTAACGAAGTTCAATGTATATAAATACTAGGCCTAGAACGTAGAACGGCGGCTCTATGTATAGTTTAAAATAGTAATCTTTATTCTTTGAATTATGTATAAAGTGAAATATAGAAATGTGTATCCACTATTGGTCAACGTCAGTAAATCAGTAAAACGCAGGAACATACATATATATGTACATAATATGTTCCATATTTAAACTTGCCAGGTGAAAGAATCGAACCTGTGACCAGCAATGAATAAAATGTATAATTAGGTAATTAAAAGCTTGTAACCCATTGGATAAAAAGAGACTTGTCGTCAAGTCATTTATTCTTTTACAATAATAAAAAAATGTTCTTTCTTTACTAATTATGTTTCAATTTAATTAGATTTTCTTCATTAAATTTATTTTTCTTAAGCTTTTATAAACAATTTTACTAATTGTTATGTCTACGAAAAGAGGCTATTTGTTAAATTATTTAAATAAAATAAAAACTGTCTGCTATTTAAGAATAAGTAATTTGAATTAGATAATCTAAATGACGATAATATTGCTGTTCGTGATATATTCATTTTCGTGTATTCATAAATAAGTGCTATAAATTCAAGTTGGATGTTTTGAGGTAGAGTAGAGTGAAGTAGATTCGAAATCAAGTTCTCACACCGTTGAGATTTTCGTGTGCAAGTCTGATTTTCATCAACATTATTACCACTTCTTAATACACCGTAAGAAAAGATCGTGAGGATATCTTAGTAATTTTCGCAGTACTTGAGCTTTCTCCATATTCATTCGACCTTGCCCCTAGTGATTACTATATATTTCCATGGTAGAAAAGGTCTCTGAGAGGACAGAGATTCGAAAATGATGAAGCAGTAGTCGCTGCAGTACATGAATTTTTAAGTGCTCAGGATAAAAAGTTTTTTAAGAAAGGAATTTTAAGCTTAGGAAACAATATTTCAAGCGTATTATGCTAAAAGGCGATATAATGAAATATAATGAAAAATAAAATAACATCTGATAAAAGTTACCGGAAATATACTCATTCTCGCTTTTTATTGAACACCTTCTCGTACACATAACCTTTTATAACTTTTTTGTTTTTTAAATGTAATTTTTATTAGTTTTTGTACGTAAATATTCTTTTTAGTAATTGCGACATAACTTTATAAGTTAACAACTTCTGCAATTATTTTCATTTTTATCGGTCACTAGCAGTACCTGCGGATTCGATCGCGTTCAAACTCTACCAAACTCCATAGGATCACCACTGGCCTAATCATTCAATAATAAATTTTTAAATATCTATATTTACCTATGGAATCCAGATACGGGCTGATTAGTATCCGGGAGGTATTCTGTGAGGAGGGCGAAGAACCCTCCGTACTCTGGCATGGGGAGGGGTCGGGGTTGCAGCACGTCCACGCGCGGCTGCGGCGTACCCGGCGCACTGCCACCGCCGCCCGACTCGCACATACCCGTCTGTTCATGTAGTTTTTGTTAGATATAAGGACTTTCATTATCTTAAATTACCTAAAATAAATTAAGCCGCGACAAAATCAGAAAATACAGTATTTAAACCAATAGAATATTTATTCATATATTATAGAATATTTATTCGCGTAAATTTAATTAAGCAAGTATAACAGAAATTACCTATGAAAGGTTAGCATTTATGTACAAGACACGTTTGGCTCAGTTTCTAGTGACCCTACTTGCTATGCCAACGATCGCGGGTTCGAGTCCCGCCGGGGGCTTCATTTGTGTGTTGAGCACGAATGTTTGTACTCCAGTCACGGGTGTTTATATTTATAATATGTATGTATTTAAAGTAATATATGTGTAGTGTATCAATTATCTGGTATTCATAACACAATCCTCGTAGTTTACCATGGAACTAGATGATGCTGTGTGTTAATGCCCCAACATATTTAATATAAGAAAATTGTAAAGTTAGGTAGGAATCAGAGAAAATCTACTCATATTGGTTTTGCCGTCTGGTCAAGTTTTTTAGACACATAGACGTACATATGTAATAAAAATTGCTTTAAAATTATAATCGTTTAGTGTATGCACTCATAATTATATCATAGAAGTTATTTCGGCATTTTTTATTAAATTATGTTTGTTCGTGCATCAAACAATATCTCCTGAGATGGAAATGAGAGGAAAAAAGCCATGAAAACTTTTTTATATAATATTGTAAGCTCGACACATTCTTATTAAAACTTTTTGTCTAATTTTTACCGTTTTCGAGTAATTGCGAAAAAACTATTTTTATAAAAAAAGTTCAACCCTTGCCAGGAGTCACAAACCTTTACACATTTTTTTTGTAACATTAAAATTACATTATATCAAAAATGCAAAGTTGAGTGCCAACATTTTGATTTCACACTTTATTCGACTGGACTATATGGAAACAACTTTACAAAATACGTAATATCAATATTTGGATAAAACCGCGTCAAAGGATATTTCATGCGATTCCCATATAACTACGAATTGAATATATATATTTAGTACAGCATGCCACTTTGACCGTAGCTTTTATTTTAAGTGTAATCTGTGTGGAGCTTTGAGTAAAGTTAATCTCGTGAACTTTTTGTGCGTAAACATTTCAATGTAAGCCGGATACCTTATCTGCATGTATGTCATAACATTACGTTAACAGTGGAAAGACACTAGGCACACTTAGTAAATAAATTTGATTCAATACTTTGAACATTGCTGAACAGGTCTGTAGGTAAAGAAAAGATATGACGTTTTGAAGTGATTTGCGAGAAAGAAATTGTGAAAGTTATAATCTTCAACCCTCTAAATAATTTTATTTTTCGATACGCGAACTGGCCCCTACATGTGGTTTCATTTGTGCCGTGAGGGATAATCGTCGTTTGATTTGAACTATTAGATGAGCATAAGTAATATGAATTGAAACCTTAGGTTTCATAGTTTCATAATTTAAGTAGGTAAAAAAGTGTAATATTACCGTTACCAATTTTTTACACTTCCTGAAAAGGTCCATATTTCAATCAATATTTTAAAGCACTTTGTTTGTTGAAATTGAAACATGTAAATAGCAGTCAGGATCAAATATTTTTCTTCGGTGGGCTTTAAAAAGCTATGATGCTATTTGCACACAGCCAAAATAAAAACTAATGTTTATTTATTATAGATTTTATCGGTCTTTTTGTTTGTGCAGACTAATTTGTGCAGATTACGTCGAGTGAACGCATATTGACTTTTCAAGTATTTACTTTAAATTTGCCTACGTAAAATATTGTGGCCCTATACATATAATTTGAAAAACTAGCAAAATCCCGTTATTTTGTTTGAGCTGAAATTTAAATTGTAGGTAAAACAAATACTCGTAAATCATGTTATTTCAATTAAACTCAGTGAATAAAGCGCAAGAAAATCGTTGTGTTAGAATTGATAGCGAAAACTTGATGATTTTTCGGGACATGTATTATAGCAATAAGGAATAACTATGTTTTAGCAGATGAATGACTTTCTTTTATAGTGTTTTAAAGTTTTTTTAAGTGTATCTGTGCCATTGCCATCGAAGTCATTTTAGTACGCTAAAAGATGTGTTCTTAATATTAAAATAAAGAAATAGATTTAGATAAGGATTCTATAGTTAGCGAAGATCTATCGCGAACTTTACAAGTATTCGCTATATGATCTAACAGAGAGAAATAGCATCATTTGTATTTTATAGTCAAAATTTAATATTTATTAACACACACTGTCCATAAAGACCAAAAACCTACGCCATATTTAAATTATGTTACCAAGGTTAATTAGTTAACTGAAAGAGTTAAAGTTGACTTATCCATTTTGTGGCTTATTACACTTACCGGTGTCGCGTCGCCATCGGAAGGCGGCGTAGGTTCCTCGTCGGCGGGCGGCGACGGGCAGGGCGGGGCAGACGCGCGTTTATCTTGCACTCGGGTAATATCCGTTTTTGTACTACTGTAAAAATAACTTTTATTGAATCCTTACCTTTTTAGAAATATTTCAGGACAAACAATATGATAATTTTAATTGATTTGATAGTGAAAAATCTAATTTGTGTTCATTAATGTTATATATTAATCTATTTTGTATGTTGTAAACAAACAAACATATGTAAATTCCTCTATTAATTAAAAAATATATAAATAATAATGGTAGGGGATTCACGCGGTTGACGGCATTCGACGCAGTTTTATTATCCTTATAATTTTTTTTTTCTCAAAAGTTTTAATTGATCGAACCAAAAATTTCGGAGTAATCCCGAAAAAACACTTTTTTTCGGTTTTCTTTCGTTCACGATATCTCAAATTGAAGATATTTCGGAGATATTTCATTAATTCGCGAATTATTCGAAAACTTTCGAATTATTCGAAATTTTTACGAATTATTCGAAATTTTTCGAATTTCGAATTGAATATTGATATTCGATTCGATTCGAACGATGTTCGCACACCCCTAGACTCTTTATGATCAGCTGTGATGGTGTCATGGCGGCAGAAACCAGAGTGGGGACGGAGTGAGAGAGTAATAGATAGAGAAAGAGTGAGAGAGGAATAGAAACGCGGAGAAGGAAATGTAGGCATCACGCAGCTGCACGCATTTAACTTTATCGACGAATTTTTGTTATTTCGGCTTGTGGAAATCGTCAGATTATATATTTTTCATTATTCTTGAATTATTTCCTCCAAAATAAAAAAAAAATTAGCTACGCTCGAGAATGTCGAGATGACGTTTTTTTTTTACAACTTTGTTGCCCTCCCCTTTTTTTACGTCACTCTCAAATTGTCAGATTAGTGGAATATACACTTTTTAGGATGTAATTAACTCACCCTACCTTAATCTGACGCGCTCGAGAATTTCTGATGGTCAATTTTTTTTTACTAATCTGATCCTGTATCCTTCACGGGCGGCCTTATATATGGGCCTCATGTTTTGTGGAGGTACTTAACCGGGTACAAGGTATCCCCCTGTATATTAATCTGCCGCGCTCGAGTAACTACAGAAAATCCCCTCTTCGGCTCCCCTACTATAATAAATAATTTATCAATGAGCTCAAACCGTAAGCGCAGCCATACGAAAGTTTCGTTTAAGCGTATTTAGGAGGAGCCAATCACTTAAGACGCACCTATTTATGATGTATGGCCGTCAGGTGTTTTCAATAAGGGGAAGATAATATAGTCATAACCGTCTAATGTCGTCAGCTACTATTAGGTTCTGATCTGATCGCATTCTGTACGTATAAAAAATTTAAAACTTTTAAGTACCTGTTCTTGTTTTTAAATTGGCTAATTCTAGAGGCTACATGAATTTTAATAAAACTTTCATTAGCGGTTAGATATATGGTCTAAAGAATACATGTACTATGTATAATAATTTAGAGAATTTTAGAGATTGACTCGTACTTTCCGACGTATTCACATTTAGGTACATTCTATTTGATTTACATTGATATAATAATACGTACTATTATTTCACTTCCTTCTTTTGATATAATGTTCGATGTATCCAAAATCAGCGTAATTAGTTTGAGTTTAAAGCAAAGTGTTCATTTGTAAGACAAGATTTTTATGTCAAATATGCTTTTGTAAGCTTTTTAGATAATAAAGTCACTGATTATGTAAAATAAGTTGATAAATGAAACGAGATAATTTTCAGTTTATACTTGAAAACATGTTGGCGGAACCAATTTTGAACAAGATATATATTAAGGCCAAGGTCGATGAGGTAATCCCACCAAAAACATTTTCATGTAATGTGGCCAAGACGAGACCATATGGCTTGGCTCGCACTGCCTAAAAAGTTATCAGACCTCATATAGAGCCAAGCTTCTAAATCTACACGCCCTAACTTCATAAACTCTACACATTAGTCAAAATATGTGGCGTCTTGGCGGGGGCACTACCGTGTCCCCAGATTGTTGGGCAACCTTCGTAGGACTTAAGCTTCGAATAATATCCTTAATTGATCACAACAAGTACAAATCCATTTGATATTTATCTTGGAGCGGAATTATTTATTATATTTGAAAGCCGGAAAATCGTAGGAAAACTCCCAAATACAAATAAATAAATTGAAGTAGGTAGACATAATTTTAATCTCTCAAAGGTTTCTAATTCTCACTTTCATATATATCGTTTCGTTGAATAAAACATTTCTACTTCTTACAGGTAATATAATTTATATGGTTCGATTATTTGCAACTATAAAACAATATGATATATCGCTTAATTTAGTATTTTTATGTAAAGAGAGCGCTTTTCCAAAGCGATTTGAGCTTGTTCTTACTAGGTACTTACCCACAGTTAATTTAAAATTATACGTTTCATTTCATTGCGATAAATAAGCCACAGAATAGTGCTACAAAACTTTATTTAAATTGTTTATGGGAGGACAATTTTATAAGGTTAATTGGGCTTCATTTTAGCCGTGGCCGTCTGTACGGTACACGGTGCTCATCACCCTACCTCTTCAGCATGAATAATCAATATTGTTTCCAAATTATATTTATTGTATACTTCATAACGCAACGATTATTTTAATTAAATTTCAATTCAATCAAAATTCATGTAACGTGAAGCTATAATTGCCATGCCTATCATTTTATTTTACAAATGCGTTTTTGAAGTTAATTTCTTTTGGCGCGTCAGGGAAAAATATGATGTGAGTAAATTTTTACAATGCGACAGTATTAGGCTACAGTATGAAGTTAGTTGTTAAATCTCCCTTTAGTATAGTGATATGCGTAAATACATTTCCCAACATAAAAAAAGGAGTTGACAGGTAGAAATAGTCACGCGAAGAAAGAGGTTATGCTTAGTAATAATTCACTAAGAGAATCCCATGTGACACCATCACAAGTACCAGGAGGTCGTATACATTCTTTAACGGGGTCCTACATATGTAAGAAGCGCTCCTTGAAGTTCGTGATCTCCTAGTACTCGTGACAATAGTGCGTTGAGGAGTATATGTTGTAAGAAATTCGTGTGCACTTTGTGCAGACTTTTCTTCGATGAGCTTCAACATAATATGTTAATATGTATATTATACAATGTTTGTTCTCATTTATTAAATAATTATGTTTTTTAGTTAAACCTTTATCAATTGTATATTTTAATTTTATTATTTTATCTTCGATTTTTACAAATGTATAGTATTGGTACGCAGAATAACATTTTTTAGTTAAGTATTTTTGTTTTAATATTCCAAAGAAGTATAACTTCTTACGTGCGTACATAAGAAGGTACTCACACACATAACTGCACACTTTTATTTTTTATTTTAACATGTTACAACAAAATATTTCATTGCATTGATATTTAGAACACCTATATAATAAATAATAATATATAGTCTATTACATATAGACCCTTAAAACGTACCTAGAGACGAACACGAGCAACGCGAGGGTGAGCCGCTAGTATATAATTTGCACATTTTACGCAAAGCTGCAGGTCACTTTATACACACACGTTTTTATCCAAAGAAAGCATTGTTTACATCACTCTTGTTTCTGACGGAATGTTGCAATGACGTTTCAATACCGATTATACTTCCTTTGGTATACGAGTATTTACTCTCAAACAAAAGCTGTCCGCATATTCAAAGGCGAGTCAACGTGTTTACGTAAGAACTGAGCGTCAATCTATTTGAATTAGCATATGTAATGTACGATTTAACTAGCGACTCATTCTCCCTTCACTTGAATTCGTCCCTAGGTGCGTTTCAATGTTTAGTACGAAATAGATAGAACGTATAACGTGTTTTCACGTGGGAATGAACTAATCTCCCGCGGTAAAAACCCTATATCACTCTCCAGTCCTTCAACTATCTCCTCACAAAAAATCGCGCCAATCTGTCACTTTGTTTCGACGTGAAAGAAGGACAAACAAACAAACACACTTTCACATTCTTTTTTTTATAGTAAAAGGGGCAAACGAGAAAACGGTCCACCTGATGCTAAGTGGCTATCGCCACACATAGACATCTGCAAAACAAGAGGAGTTGCGAATGCTTTGCCGGCCTTTAAGGGACCTGAAGACACGGCGAAGGGTGCGATGATAGAATCGCTACGGTAGCACCAGATCAAAAAGTTCATCAGAACACTCTCCATTGTACAGACGATAGAAAACACACAGAGAACCAACATCTCTCCGAAGGCTTAAAGGTTCTAAGTCGTCTGAGAATACGGACGACGTCGTCATACGTCGACAATACGAATTGCCCGGCGTTGGATAGAGTTAAATGGAAGAAGCCGGTATTGAGGGGCGCCAGCCCTGAGACGAGAACATAAATAAATAGGTAGGGCGTTCTTTATAAAGTGAGAATGAGATACAATCTCTTTGGGAACCGAAAAAAGTTAATAGTGACTGGTAAATCTGGAATATTGATTAGATTTAGAAAAGGAAATAATTTGAATATCTTTTGTTTTTTTAAAAGTGGTAGTCTTTTTTGGTTAGCAGTTTGACGTAGCGTACTGTGGAAAATGAATAAAATTGACTTGCGCGCGGTTATGAGGTATCTGTGATTAAAAAAAATCACTAACTAATAAGTTAATCAAGATTTACACAATAACACAACGGTAATGACCGAAAAAATAGTAAAAGAGTCGAAAACATTATTTTATTTAGTAGATCGTCGTGTCACAGTTTTATAGCCGAAGAAATAAAGATTTCGACTGGTAGTGTGCGCATTTTACACAAACGCTTGGAGATGAAAAAAGTAGGCGCGCTGGATCCCCAGAATGCGTCCCGATGCACAAAAACAAATCAGGCCGAACATTTCATGAGATTCTTTGGAACTGTTACAACCATAATCTGATCGTCTTTTGTCTCAATTTATAACCATTGATGAACGAGGCTTCACCATTACGATCCAGAAACAAAATAACAGTCTATGACTTGGAAAATACCATAGTCTCAAACCCCTAAGAAATTTAAGGCGAGTCCTTCCGTTGAAATGATCATCGGCTTTCTTTTCTGGAATAGTATGGTCATGATAGAATATCTTGATCATGAAACTACTGTCTTTGTAGGCAGAACAAATAAAAAATAGCGTAAAGAATTCGCGAGAAACGACGAGGAAAACTAGCAAAAACTGTTTTGTTCCATCAAGATAATGCCCCGGCTGACAGCCCCGCTGTTGCTATGGCTACAATTCAAGATGCTAGCTTCGAAATACTTGAGAATCCTCCATATTCATCCGACCTTGCCCCTAATGATTACTATAAATTTTCATGGTTGAAGGACTTTTTAAGATGACAGAGATTCGAAAATGATGAAGCAGTAGTCGTTGTAGTACGGGAATTGTTAAGTGCTCAGGATAACATTTTTTAAGAAAGGAATTTTAAGCTTTAAAAAAATATTCCAAGTGTATTATGCTAAAAGGGGACTATATCGAAAAATAAAATAACATTTTATAAAAGTTACCGGCAACATACTCATCTCACTTTTTATTTAACGCTTCTTGTATATTAAAATAAATATTAGGTACAGGCGTTGGCTCGTAGCTCGCATTCTATTTATGTCTATAAAATGTAACCCATTAGATAAAATAAATCATTCAAAATCGTTAGGCTGTTAAAGCGTGAAAAACAAACAAGACGCTTAAGTCATTTACTCTCTGTAATATTTTGATTATAGAAGAAATATGTACATAGGTATATTAGTTTATCATAGTCTGGTGCTCAGGAAGCGAAAAAAATCAATAATGTACAAAAATACTGTTTGTACTTTAGTATTCGTATTCAATTCATAAAGTTCCGCGTAGAATTTGAAAACAAATATCTATTGAAGTCAAAACAAGTAGTTTGTAGTTTAGTTCGTTAAAATAATTCTAGCCATTCAAAAGTTATTAGGTACTCAAGATATAATAATACCCCTTATAAAAGGGATCAAGAACTCTAATCATCATCGACGTAGTCTTAACAGCATCTTGAGCTTGTTTTTCTCAATTAATCGAATAAACAAGTATTAATTTTGATATTATTAATATTTGAATACAAGATTTAAAATACTATTCAGCGTTCTCGTTTTATTGTGCAGAAACTATGCTCGATGCAGGGCAGAGTTTTCGTTTAAATCAACTTTCATTGTTTGTTCATAAAACCTTCCCCCGTTTTAATGGGGCGTCGCAGGATCGCTTACGCATTCAACTACGACGCCCCGACGGCAGGTCTGCCAAAGCAGAAAACCACAACCATGGGGTTGCTCCAAGGTCCACTCTGCTATCAGAGAAGTACCAGGAGCAACCCACAAGGTACACCGCCCCCCGAAGAGGGCCGTCTTCCACCGCCCACCGAAGTGGGCAACCTCCCTGTGCGTTTCTTAGCTTCGCGCCCGGTTGGATTGCCGGGCACTACTGAGCCCCCCCACCACGACAAGGTGAACGCACGTTGGGGGGGTTCCATTCGTCCCTAGGTGATCCTTTAAATTGACATAACTTTTTTATTTATGAATCGATTGAAATAAAACAAATACTAAATGTTAAGTGTAGCCTACCACAATAGTTCAGTGAAAACCGCATCAAAATCAATTAACTGTTTCTGAGATTAGCGTGCACAAACGCACAGACAGACAAAAAATCAAAAAGTAATTGTTTTGGATTCTATTGCGATAATAAAGACCCCCAAAATAGTCTTTCTTAAATATCTTCCATGTACCATGTAGAGAATGCGATCAGTTACACTTTTATTATATGTATAAATGTTTTTGCGTCACAAATATAGTTTATGTTCAGAGCTTTGTATTGAAATTAAACAATTTATTCTCCGAGTGAAAAGCGATAACAAAAACCCTATGTGGACATAAAAGCATTAAAGACGCGGTGTCTGACACAATAAACACAAGAAAAATAAAGGTCTTCATATAAATATATTCACAATCCATATTTCATAAAAGATTTAAGGCTCCAAAGCTGTAATAAAATTGAAAACATATTAAGTGATCGGCAACTGTTGTTTAAAAGAAATGTTTATTGAGTTTTTTGAATTATATTATGAGTATATTAATTACTACAACTACGATTTCAAATTCTTTTATATATTACTAATTGATTCTTTATAATTTTACAGACACATGTATTGTGTATTAACAAAGTGTCATAAATACTTTTAAAATAATTTACGTTTTTTTTTCGTTAGCCTTTTTCGTTTTTTTCTTATAGAGGATAAAAAATAAGGAAAAATGTTTTAGAATTACTTTAAAAATCGTCATTACTTTCTTAAGCGTGTAATTTAATCTTGAAAATTATATTATGATCTAGGAATTAATCGATAAAAAATAATCATGAAAATCGGTTCACAATAATTTGACGAAGATATCGCGTAAGAACCAGACATAGAAACATAGAGCCGAAATGAGTACCTCTTTTTTTTAATCGGTCAACAAAGCACAGTACTCACGTAGCTTTCGCCGGATCTTCACCGCTGTGCCGCTTGGTGTGTATCGTGCCTTTTTCTTCGGGAGCTAGCTCACCGATCCGTCCGGTCGCGTCCTAGGGAAATTAGGCAGTTGATTCATTACAAATTATGTAATAATTCGATTAATTTCAAACATAAAATTAAACAAATATATTAATTAAATATTTTTAAAAATTGCGCAGATATATAAAAAAAATACATAAAATACAAAAAAGAATAACATTCTAACGAATTGAGTACCTTATCCTTTTTGAGAATCGGCCAAAAGAAATAATGTAATATAACAATATCTTACCATATTTCGGTCGATAAGTGTATGCTCATATATTATATATTTTAATTATTAAACCTCATCAAATAACTACTCACAACGAATATGAAACAAAAATATTCAACATTTTAAATGAAACTATCTTTTCAGATTTTTTCGCGGATTTATTTTAAGAGTCTACCGGGAATGCTGTAAAGCATTCTAAACGTCGGGAACAAAAAATCAAAATAACGAAGAAACCCCGAAATTATTTAACATGTCAAATATTCGGGTGAATCTAAGAAATTTAAAATATTCAAGGTAGTATAACCTATGTTTGGTCTAAATTGTTTTAATCGGTTTCAAGGCCTTCAGTATCCAAAAGATCCAGATCGGACCTTTCGTATTAACATATATTAACTTAAAACATAAAAACATACAGTTGAATAGCCTTATACATTAGTATTTTGAGAAGTAAATAGTCGTCGAGGGTGTAATGTAGGACGTACGAGTAGGTACAATACAGGGCGAATTAGGCGCATTTGTTTTTTTATTGGGTCAATGTTCGAGTAATACCATAATTGGACGCCGAGGGAGTCACAAAGTATGTCAATATTTTTATCCTTCTAATTTTTCTACTAAGATCTTTTGTATTTTTATTTATTAAATGTCATAATTATTAAAATTTACACATTCTATATAAATAGGAATTCGAATATCACTTCCATTAGTTTACTTGCACATTAAAAAATATTTTTTCTGCATTTGTAACGATATGGTCGCCTAGAATTTTAAGTAAAAACAAAATGACATTATCGAGTCAAATACCACTTAACAAGTATTTTGCTTTGAAGAGACTTACTTAAATAAGATTATTTTACAAAAAATAACATATTATACACACCTGTGACCCAGTTCCGGGTCCATCGCTATGCCCAGACGTGGCTTTTCTCATGGAGGTCAAGCGATAAAAGGGGGGAGTCTCCGTTCTTTCTATGAGACAGTTCAAAGTCTCTACTGTTTGCAGTTCTGTCATCATTTCGTCCAAAAGCCTCTCGGGTCTGGATCTTGCTAAGTACAGTACTACGCGTTTTGCCTATGAAATATAAATGTGTTTAAAAAAGAAAACAGTGAATCGATTATTATAATAATTTATATTTATAAAATTTTGTTATAAATTATTGTAAATAAATGTAAGTCATTAGGGAATAGTGTAGGAACTCCGAATAGATATTTAACAAAACTTGATTATTTTACTGTATACATAATACATCATGCAGACTGCAGGTAGTCTATTAGTAACGCGCTCGCTTGCATAGCCAAGTGTTTGCACAGCAAGTTTTAGTGTTTTATACGTTCCTTGTATGTTATTCTTTAAGCTTGAAGCTTTCTACGCCTCTTCCCCGAATTTCGCTCAAATCGATTGATTCTAGTTCTCGGTCAAATTTCATCCAGATCCGTCCAGGCATTTCAGTGTAAAGGAGTAACAGTGTAAAAAACACACTTTTACAACATCTCTATTGTAATAAGTAAATTACAAAATAGATAAAAGCCACCTAATATTAATAAACTAATAGTATTTTGCTTTTGTAAAACGCTGATGATACGGATTATGAATCAATAAATCTGGTTGATTTCATTCGAGTCAATTACCTAAGTTGTTTTGAGTTCAGTGCAGCGTACTGTTTAATCTTCTTATTGACGTATGGAATTTAATAACTATATAGGTATATCTACATATAATTACATTAAGTCTATTTATAAAACAATTATAAGTAAAATTTACAACAAACATTGCTTTAACCGTCGTTGTTTTCACAATATTTTTTAGTTCTAGTATCGTAGAAATACTGAAATCTAAACTACGTATGGTAAAATTAGGTTTAATAAAATATGTACAATGTTGGTAATACATTTTAAGGCTTCAATTGTCATAGTCATATTTGAATTAAAACCAAGTCTTAAATCACTAGTACATCATACTATGAAAAAATCAAACGAATTATAATCGAAAAATAATATTAAAAGGTGTATAACAAGGGTTTGTTTGAGCCTGCCTGCAATAGTTAATGCTCTACGAGCCCTGATATTGACGTCGCAGTGCCCTGAGGATTGCACTTTAATACCCTTTTTGATGCAAGTAAATAACAAACATAAGTTAGCTGCGTCTAATTCTATTAAGAATTAGCTTTTATACACGATTCCGTCGCTATAAGATAATAGAGATAAAAAGGACGGTCCGATATTAGGCAAAAGTTTTCAACTACCGTTTTCTATAATGATTATATGTTTATTGAATAGGTTTAAAAAACACCTTCGTTTCGCCCAGGCCCTATTAACACCCTGGGCCTTTGGCAATTTTTACAATTATAATAATTGGTATCCCACGTAAGCCATTGGTGAATCAACACAAAAAAATATATTTACTAAGAATTTGGCATACAACGCAAACACACCTTATAATGAACCTTATAATTTCGTCAATTTAGTATTAAACTGTATTGCAATTATTAACGCTCTTCTCACGAGCGTGGTTTCTTACAATTAAGTTAAGTGTTGTGTGAAAGAAGAACAATAATTAGGACAAACATTTCCACATTTTAGCGTGTTAAACTCATTTTTATTCATAGATTTTTACTGTAGTAACAATATAATAAACTTAACGAATCGTGTTTTTAACTAAGCTACGGAATGCAAAATGTTTAAGAAATAATAAATAAGAGAAAATGAAAGATTTATAAGTGTATACTCACATATGGCAGGAGTTCATTAGGAGCCATTCCCGACACTATGATGAGGTATCGGATGATCACTTTGAGATTATTAGGCCAACACGCGCAGAGCGTCGACCAAAGCTCTTCGATCTCCTTTGGATGGTTGTCAGAAAACTACGGAATGATATGGAACATATAAAATAGGTATTATGTAGCTTATTTTTTAACATTTTTTTAAGTATTCATTAAATCTTCTAACGAAAAGCTTAATTAATAAATATGATAAACTGATAAAAAAAAGATCACGACGAATTGAGAACCTCCTCCTTTTTGATGAAGTCGGTTGAAAAGTTTATAAGGATATTAAAGAAAATTTAGCTAGCATTAGTTATTGTGCTATTTGAAATTTAATACCCGACTGCGCAAGGCAAAGGCGGGTAATGTGTTAATCAGTCTATGTATGTATGTTTGTTATTAACACACAGTTAAGTAGGTCTCGCTGCAAGAATGAAACGTGTATGTCTCCGATTGCACAATACTATATTCCTTCGTCAACTTATTTTCATCATTTTAGTTAGCTTTTCGCAGTCGAGGTTTTTTATTTATATAATATGTTTTTTTACATTTACCAGAGACTTACTCTTACTTCGCTGGGGTGCGTCCCTAGGTACGTTTTAAATTTTATGAGCGGAACCCTTATTCTTTTTTTAAATAAGAGTAGCCTAAGTTACTTATTATAACATTAGCTATCTACTAGTGAAAGTCCCATCAAAATCGGTCCAGCCGTTTTGAAAATAAGCCGGAACAAACAGCGAGACAGACGGACAGACAAAAAAATTGAAAAAGTCTTTTCTTATAAGTACCGCATAGAATTCCATATGCGTTTAGTAAAAAGATGTTATTTTGACATTATAAACAAACACTTTAATTTTATTTATCTGTAAAGATTATTGTGTGCTATATGAAAGGATGGGTATCAATAACCTAAGCAATTTCAGTAATAAATCAGGGAAAGTTAAATAATATCACAGACCTCTATTAATATTATTTTAACACTAAACTATACACTGCGCGTTTTGGAGAATATTTCTTACCTTTCATAATTATTTTTGTTTTCGTTTATAGTTTCAAATAGCGTATTGTAGAGATTTTCTTTTTAAATTGATCATTAGTTTTTACATATTTTTTTATATCAGCACAATCTCCCAACACTTGTTGTCATTTACATATATAAAGTAGTTTAGTGTAAACAATAATACATAATGTATGTAAATATAAAGGTTGGTCTACACTCTAGTGCGCTTATGTGGTGCCGGTGGGCATACGTATAGTACGTAAGTGGTAACCATCGATCGCGATTCGCGATGATATAATCCGTGTTCCATAACAATCACGATATTCATCGTCATATATACATATGTATATAACGCATGGATTAAATATAATAACTGCTTTTTCCATCAGTTTGTGATGACTGTGTGGTGCTAGTGTAGGTAGTAAGTGCACGAGTGGTGGGATTGTTGTACATATGCACTCGTAGCTGCTTTTCTCTGGTATTTAGGATAAAACAGGTACTTGAAAGAAAAAAGATCTAAGAAGGTGACTCTAACAATGACTACATCCTACTAGTATTATATTATCAGACTAATAAAATAACAGCAAAAACTCAGATCAATCATTTTTAGTATTATCATAAGTAATTAATAATAATCAAATTGGTTTTGATAACTTACGAAATTAATTTTAATTGTCTTGTTAAATTTAATTATTTCTTGTCATATAATACATACATAATAAATTATTTAACTTTATTTGGTTTTTATCTTAAATACAATTACCGTTAGTTAATAATATTGATGTATACACGAAAAAAAAAATTCTTCAGAGGAAAATATACCTATCTTATTGACATTCATCCTTTATATATAAGTAGAGTTGCTAGTAAATCCAGCATGTTTAATGTGATTTTCAAACTGCATTTCAGCTTTAAAGAACAATTAGGCTTGAAAGCGTCACTGCATAAAACCCCTTTATTAACATTGTTTTACTCTTGGACTTAATTAATTCAGGAAATAGAAAAAGTAAAAAGTATCGAAGTAAAAGCATCCTATTTCAACCGGATGGACGGTCGAGCTTATTAACATGGAATGTCATTACAGAGATTCCAAACTCACGAGCGTCATATAGCGAATCAAAGGGAGTCTAGGGAGTTTTCCCTGTGACGTAAACGTTTTATTTTTATTTACGATGTAAAGATTGTTTGTTGAAATATTTTGTATTGAGTTTTATATCAAGACTTGTATTAAGTAAATGGTTCAAGAGATCAGAGAAGTTAGTTTTTATGCGTTACGTTAATAACCCATTTATTTTCATACATAATATATAAAAAATCGATAGGCATATTCCCTATGAACTCCAAAACAGCTGGAGCGATTTTATTGAAATTTTCAAGTAATCTTCAGATTAGCCCAGCGGGTGATCGTATGAAGTTTGGTAGCGATCGAAAGTTTGAAAGCAGGTGAAGCCGCGGGTACTGCTAGTTGCATATAAAATAATATATTGCAAAAACTATTACAAAAAATAAACTATGCCGCGTAGCGAAATAAAGTTACTACGAACAACGTAGGTTTGATATCCATATCGTATAATATGTATAGTATTGTTATACTATACATCCAATTAGAAAAATAATACATTTGTAAGATATTTAGTATCAATTGGCTCAATTAGCCGGTAGTAGGGATGTACATTACAAGCAAACATGTCTGAGGACTTTACTTTTGATTATTGTATATTGAAGTTGTAATGAAGTAACCCCCGACACATAGAAAACTCTTAAAAAGTAAAAAAAATTTTGGCCTTTTATCTTCATTAAAAGTATTAATATTTTGATGAAGAGCGTCGCCACATCGAGGGATCGCTAATAGATACTTTATCATTATCTATCTTCTTTTTATTTGTATTCTTTTATTTTATTTACTTAGCGGTTCCCCGACGTAGCGACATTAAAAGGCCAAAAGAGATATTTTAATTTTTTACTTTTGAGAGTTTTTTTTGTGTAGGGGGTTACTTAAAATTACTCGCAAGCACTAATTCTAATAGATTTTAGATTCTAATAGATTGAGACTATTCTTATGACCCCATACACACTATATCTGCTTTAAGTTTCTGAAAAAAGGAGCATCCGTAGATTATTTGATACTACAGCATCAACCAAAGTTAGCATGTCTCGAAAATACCATCGAAGTCACAATACATCAAATTCATTAATTCAATCAGATATGTGAAAGTTAGTAAGACCGTTTTGTCAAGTAAGAAATAAGCTGATAATCATCAAAGGCCTGACCAGATCTTTAAAAATTATAGCTAAGAAGCATCTCGATCACGTGAACTTTCAAACAAAAAAAACCGCATCAAAATCGGTCAATTCGTTCAGGAGCTACGATGCCACAGACATATATACACAGTTACACAAACACAAACTGACACGTGAAACTTATATTTAGTGTAATTATAGATGTAATCGAAATATCTACTAGCAATATTAAAAAAAAAGTGGTAAAATCCAGTTATAAGCTTTTACAGGCTTGAAAACCGAATCGTTTCTTTTTTTGATCGATATTCTTGTAAGAACTCAAAAATTTTACCGACAACACGTGTCTATGAATCAATGGACTAATAATTTATCATTTAGTGCCTATATTTAGTTTGTATACAAAAATATACAATATGAAGGAACTTTGGTAATAATTAAAGAGCTCTATATTACTGTCTTATTGGGACAATTTACCCTTATAAATCCGAAACGTATTAATTTGAGTGCGAGTTTGCATAGCCCGGTGAGCGATCGCGCAAACACAGGCGCGTCCGAAGGCTTCACCACCCTAACACCCTACATTACCCCAAGTAGATATTTCGGTAGACTCCATTTAAGTATATTAAGTTCGGTCCAGTGTGAATGCCATTACTTCGTCATACGCACCCGCAACGTACATTATATTCACCGGGTATAGATACAAAATTCAATTAACATGTTACGATGGCTATTAGTAAAATGCGTTTCAGTACTATGCGTTTCAGTGGTTTACACAAATGTATATCATATATCACTACAGTGCGTCTATTATAGGGTTATTTCGACACTGGTAATGCCCAGTAATGACGCGCTCGCTCGGGAAACCGAGTGAAGCGGGTTCAAATCTCGGGTCTCGCACCTTTGAAATTCTCATATGCAAATCATTTTCAACATGATTACTATTGGCTTTACGATGAAGGAAAACATCGTGAGGATATCTGCAAGTCTGAGAGAACTAAGCGAGTTTTCACAAGGCATCTGAAATCTGCTAACCTGTGCTTGGCCAGCATGGTGGATTATGGCATAATTTATCTCGCCTTGCCACTTGCCCAGCAGTGGGATATTAATAAGGGTACATAAATTGTACTATATAAATAAATAATAATAATAATAAATATGTTGAGACATTAACACACATCACCATCTAGTTCCACGGTAAGCTACGAGGCTTGTGTTATGGATATCAGATAGTTGATACACTACACATATATAATTTTAAATACATATATATTATAAATATAAACACCCATGACTGGAGTACAAACATTCATGCTCAACACACAAATGGTTAATAATAATTGGTTAGAAGAGTTATGAATGGTTGTCTCAATTCTTATTTTTTTCAAAAGACCAATGTCGAAATTTTTGAGATAGTCGCGTAAAACGCAAACGTGTGTACAAATACTTCAACATTGTGTAAAAGGCACGTTCAGGGTAATGTGATCGAGGGTCAGTGTATGTCGATTGACGTTTACCGTACACATAAATCATATTCCATATTTTGCCCCGTTTCATAATGTAGTTAGCGTCTGCAGACTCTTTTACTAACCCGCTTTCGATTTACATATTAGCTTTAGTTGTCTTCTTACAAATTTACTTGTGGATAAATGTTTAACCGAAAGAGATTATTATGAGAGACTGGTATCTATCATAAAGTTGGCTTAAACAACAATAAGGATAAAAATAATTTTAAATTTATTATATTATGAAGTATAAATATAAATTGTATAAGATTTTGTTTAAAACTTTTGGTTCCATTTTTTGAGCCGCAACGTTAGAAATTCTATGAAAAAAGTCACTGCATCAAATTTATAGTAGTCACGGTAATTTTATTTAACTTTTCATTTAAATATACCCTTATAAAGAGGCAAATGTTAACAATAGTAAATATAGTATCAACAGTTTAGACTGTTGGGTGTCCTGCCCGAGGGAAGCACGACCGAATGCGAGACTGTTTTCGGATGTTAGGTCGATGCCTTCGGCTATATTAATTACGATAGTGATAAAATAGGGTAAGAAAAACCATAACTCGATTGGAAAGTGTCTGATGCAGCCGCCATCGTGTCAACACTGGCAAATTTACTGTTTTTATGACTATTTTTATTTTTTGTTTGACAATTTATGTCATGCTTAATAAGAGTAATTTGAATAATACTTTCTTAGAATAATTTTTTTGGATAGTCGTATTTCTCTACATACGAGTATACATACATATAATAAAATTGTAACGAAGCCGAATCTGTACATAAAATATTTTTTGGAAAATCTTATTGACATTTTTATCGACGCAGAGGCCCAATCCATAGTTTTTAGAATTTTTGTCTGTCTGTGACAGAGAAACAAAAAAAAATTGAAAAAAACCTGGATTTGTTCTATTTCTCTTCTTACATCCCCCTGACTCGGTTTTTAGCACTTTTTTTCTAATAACAGACATTCGACCTCTATAGTTTTATTATATGTATAGATAAATGACAAAGTTACATTTGAAAATCATACCGTATTTAATTTCATAATATCATCTAAAATATCTGCACATAATATATTTTGCTGATGAAATTATACAAGGTGAATTTCATATTTAATTTATTAAAATTATAATACTTTCATATCTATACATATAATACCTATCTAATATATTTAAACGAGCAATTCTTGTATATTTATTTTTTATTTATACCGGAGATCTCGGAAACGGTTCTAACGATTTGGCTGAAATTTGGTATGTGGGAGTTTTCGGGGGCGAGAAATCGATCTAGATTAGTCTTATGTCTGGGAAAACGCGTGTTTTCGAATTTTCATGCGGTTTTCTTCCGCATTATCTCCTGCAAAATATATCGTCCCTAATTTCGCACGCTTGGACATAAGCACCGTGGTCAAGCAATAAAGGCGCAAGATTAACAATGAAATGTGTCCGGGTTCGAATCCCGATCGGATACAATGTTTTTAAATACATTGTTATATATTATATATACTATATTTAATTATATTAATAAATTAATATATATATATCTATATCTATATCTATATATATATATATATATATATATATATACTATATTTAAATATATAGTTTGCACGGCATTGAATGCGAAGGGGGTCATAATCATCGCAAGCAGGTATGTGCGGTGTAACACGGCGTTGATCAATCGACGACATAAACTATGCGATATAGAGATCCGCTAACAGCCGCTCGGATCGCGAGGGAGGGATATCGTGCTTAACGTTTTCAGTGGAAAAAAGACGCGATTAATACTATATTTACATTCAACAGAGAAGTATTAATGAAATACACATGATAAAAATATCCCTATAGCCATAGCAGTGTGGGTTTATTAAGGTGTAGTAGATATATTAAGATTTACGTGTTGAGATAATCAAGAAATAAAATGATAAAAAATAATGTTTTTTTTAAATAGGTAAACGCGACAAGCTTTCATATAATACTAGCGACTCACCTTCGCTTTGGTCGGCTTCGTCCCTAGGTACATATTAGCGGTTAGTATAGAATAAACTATATATGTATATATTATGTGCAATGATATAGAAAAGTAAGTAATAAGTGTGAAAAGGTGACGGACAGACAAACAGACAGACAGAAAGAGATTTTCGCATATAATATTATTATGGATATATAAAGTTGGCTTTTTTGTGGTGCTGGTCTATCATCAACGGCTTGGGCTGAACGTTGATAAGTTAGTCAGTGAGTAGCGACGTTTATTGCGAGTGTACCTTAGGCATATATTTTTGCGGACTTTTATGTAGGCCTTTTAAGACCTACATACATTTTACTACATTTTCTAGTAGGTACATTGTTTTGATGTATTTCTGGTTTAGCCAGCTTAGACGTATAAATTTCTAAGGATGACTCGATATTTCGATATATTATATCTCGAGTTATTGTGTTTCCTCGTGGGAATTAAAGTTTTCCCTGTAATAAAAGGTACCCTAAATGTTGAGTAATAAGTTATCACTTCTCTAAATTTCGTTAAAATCGGTCCATTATTTTTTGCGTGAAATGCGAACACAATCAGATATACATACAAACAGACAAAAAATAATAATAACTATTGGTTTGGGCTCTTTAAGAATACGTTACAATAATTGTTTTAATAAATATTTCATATCCAGATTCCGCTAAGTTACTGTTTTATTGTATATTATTTTATTATATGTATCTTTAAACGAGAAATTCTTGTAAATATATATATAATCTGAATCTCGGAAACGACTCCAACGATTTTCATGAAATTTAGCAGCCAGGGGGCTTCGGGGGCGATAAATCGATCTAGATTAGTCTTATATCTGAGAAAACGCGTGTTTTCGAGTTTTCATGCAGTTTTCTTTTGCATTATTCCACGCAAAATATGGTCGGCAATTTGCACGTTTAAGTTAAGTTTTTACTTTTGTTTTTTTTTAATATGTAATATTTATTCAAGTTTAAAAAAAAAATTGTACTTTAGGCCAAAAACTCCGAGCGAAACCCAGGTAGCCCAGGTACTGTTTATTATATGGATAATGTAAATGTGTGTAATTTAATAAATTGATAGATTTGATTTAATTTAAAGTTTATTTACTTCTTTTTAAATCATTTAAACGAAGGCTTGTTTTTAAAAATGTTTTTTTTTTCATAATTATATTAATTATAGCATATACAGTTAATAAACTTACGATAACATATAAATTTGTAAAACGAAACTACTGAATAATCGTTTTAAAATAAAGTTGATGCGCATTTATTATTTGTACCGAATTTACTTCTGAAAATTCTGGTTACCCTATAGTCATAAGTCACAGCCCGCAAGTTGGGTCAAGTTTAGACAATCGGTCAAGGGTAGCAGTGCGTCTGCGAAGTGCGATATGAAGTGCACGTTTTGGTGTTATTGTTACATGTTCTTTATCACTATACAATAAATGCTAATATATGAAAAGCGTAGTTTGACTGTTGATTTTAGAGTATGTGATTTTGAATGGAGACTTGAGTAATACGTCAAAATACATAAAAATAGTATATATATACAGGTATATGGGGAAAAAGATTCCCATTGTTTTATTAACTTTCTATTTTACAGTCATAAAAATATATTGAAGCATGTTTGTTTTTCTTACATTTCATCATCATTGAATAGATCACCTTACCTTGACTGTGATATAAAACAGATTATTAAGGACCATTTCAGTCGCTTCAACGGATCCGAGGCCCTCTCTGCGTCCTGTGCGTCCGGCTTCAGAAGCATAATACTGAAACAAACAATAATGTAATAATAATCTATACATACGAGTATAATAAAATTTTAAGCCGAATCTGTACATTAAATATTTTTTGGAAAACCTTATTGAAATAGACATTATTATCGATACAGAGGCCGAATCTATAGTTTTTAGAATTCCTGCCTGTCTGTTACCGCATCACGGAAAAACCACTGGAGGGATTTTGATGAAATTTGGTATGATAATAGCTGGTTATACGGGTCAACATATATGATACTTTTTACTGCGGGAAAGTATCATCTCTGAGAAATCTATACTAAACGTTAAAACATAAGTGGGGACGAACCCGAGCGGAGCGAGGGTGAATCGCTAGTTTACAATATTTACTTAGAAACAAGGTATCTGCGCTATCATGAGTATACTTTTGAGCACTGAAGAATAAAAAAAGTAATTTTACTTTTAATATAATTAGGTATTTTATTATTTTTATAAAGATGCTAATGAGAATTTAATAAAGTGAATATCATGTTATTAGAAAGAACTCCACTTTCATTGAATATATTTTTGTATGTAAATTGCGGCCATTTTTCCATCTTTTAATTTCGCTACTAATCAATCTGAATCATATTACTGGAATCAGAAGATAAATTTAATTAATCTATACTAATATTATCATAAAGAGGTAAACTTTGTGAGTTTGTGACTTTGTAGGGGGTAATGCCTGGAATTACAGAAGTGACTTAGATGAAATTTGGTAAGAAGATAGTTTGAGATCCTGGGAAAGACATAGGATACTTTTTATTCCGGAAATCATCTCTTAAGGGGGTGAAAATGGGGATGAAAGTTTGTATTGGGAATCAAGCTAGGGACGAACCCGGGAGAAGCGAGGGTGAGTCGCTAGTTTCTAATAAATGTAATAGCAATGTATGAAGCTTTATAACAACTTTCTACTATTTTAATAAGGCTTATATGCAGTGCAGACGATGGACTTTGTTTCTGTAATATACACACAATTATTTCTATACTAGCCTCGCTCTGCTGCTTCGATCGCTTATTTGTTTTGAGTTAGTCCCTAACCATTAAGTAATACAATGTGTATATAACGCTATACAGTATACAATGTTATATACAAATATAATAATATGTAAAACAAACAGACAAAAAAAACCTTACAACTGGTTTTTATAAGGTACATGAAAACCAGTTGTAAACTTTTACCATAAGCATTCTCAATAAATAATATAATACTTACGTGTATTGATTTTGTTGTCATAATATTTTATGTAGGTAAGAAGGAAATTTCAGTTGGGAATTTTCTCAACAAACATACTTTAAATTACCTTAATTCATATTCATAAAAGATATCTTATTTAGTTTAGAAAATATGAGTGTAGAAAAAAATAAAAATCGATGACATATATAAAAAGTCAACTTTACCATAAGGGTTACAATTCAAGCGCAATGTAAGCAATAGCAGCTTCAGCAGGAGCATGCATTCAATTTGAAGCTGAATCTAAACGTAGGAAATGATATAAAGTCTGAGAGTCAGAGATTGAGCAAATACACATGAACTCATTTATTTTATTTTGACATGAAAGAATAACTTTTTATAGAAGTTTCGTAACTATAGTTGTTAAGGCCTAAATCAATTATTTCATTTTACAGTTATTTACAAAAATAATGATTAGCAGATAAATCACACTCTAAGCCGTTGGCATTAGAAGTTTGAAAATTTCCACAAGACTTCCTCATTCATATAACTGTGATTTTTTAAAATTAATTTCATAGAACTGCAAAATTTGTTATTTTATTTTACTTTCATTAGGATCTCCAACAAAAGATACACACAATATACAACATCATATAAAAACAAAAAGCCAATAAGACTCACAATACGTGTGCTCCTTCACTTATAGGAGACCACAGCTTGCTCATTAATGTATTTTACGTCATAACTAAGTTTAAACTAAGAAAAAATTAACGTCTAGAAACAAATCTGAAACTATATATAGAGATACAAAAAAAAAGAAACAAATCATATTACAACACATTTAAACATTTCTACTAAAGTTATAGGAGACCACAGCTTGCTCATTAATGTATTTTAAGTTATAACTTTAAACTAAGAAAAAATTGACGTAGGTACATTTCTAGAAACAAATTATATTTAATTTATTACTAATATATGTAATTGTAAGATACTTTTAGACTTGCTTCAACCAATAAATAATATTAGAAATTGAAATTAGATAAAGCAATGTTTACGCGTTTCGTCGTGCCGCCGTTATGACAAAACATCTTACTTTTTCTTTTATACATTTTTCATTCCATTCTATTCTTAAAATATCATACGTCTCCTTTTATACTTAAAATACCATTTCACGCATACTTATCTCGCAAAGGCTACATAAATACACATATGTATATATCAATATAATTGAGTAGTACACATAAGTTTCTTAATTATTATATCAATTTACATTAATAGTTAAACAATACAAGCTATTGTTATGTAAACTGTTGTCAATTAGACCAAATATCAATTATAGCAAGTAAATCTTATCCGATGCATATGCCTGTGTAATTATAGCGCTCTGTCGCTTTGTGTAACCTGAATTGGTAAAGGATATTCAGACAGGTGGTATACTTAACTGATTGGTATACACGTAGGCTCGATTTCAAACTAGTGATTAATTTCATTGTTACTGTCAATCATAATTCTAATTAATGTTTCTAAATGACTTTTTAAAAGTTCTAACAGTGTTGTGGTCGTGGTATTCATTTTAAAATGTATTTAAATAATACAATTAAAATAATTACGTAAAATTTTCTATGTTGCGGATAATTTCTGTTATTCGCATTAGATAGAAACACAAAATCTCTAGTTCATTATAATTACTAATTAACAAATTGAATTCCAAAAGCTTAATATATTGCAATTCTAATAATTGAAAATTTACAAGAATATCTGAAAATACAAAATATTGAAATAAATTATTAGAGCGGGAAATTCAATTTAAAATATAATAATAATCACAACAAAATTACAAATGTCGTGATAAATTCACCCCCTTACCTGTATATATGACAGCGGATTAGCAGGCGGCACGTTAGGGTCTACAAGTTCGATGTTAACAAGCCAGGGGAGGAGGTATTGTAGTAAAAGCTGTCGCACTTCAGTTCGGGCAGTCTGGAACCGTGCTGTGATTTCTGTTAAATACAAGTTTTATTAAAATTCGTAATTGATTACATTTAGCACTTACGATATTCATTAAAGTAATTAATGTAAATGACTAAAATATACTTTGTAACTTTAATAAAATGTATACAGATATGAGATTATTAAAGGACTCCTCATTTGTGTGCGCCGTTAGAATATCGTGTATTATATAAAGTTTGAAGTTAAAATTATTACCACGACAAGGAAATAATCATATTTAACACTTTGCAAAGTATTAAAAATAATTTGAACTCGACTGGTGATTCGTTTTCGCTTCATTAAATTCGATGTTTGAGAGAAGGACAAAAAACAAAAAAAACGCACTTTCGAATCTATATACTTATTTATTTATTTATTTATTTATTTATTTGGAAGACAAACCGTATTTAGTTACATATAAACAAAAAGAATAAAAAATTAAGTCTTCACAGTTTACAAATTCTTAAGGTTATAATGCGTGTTAGCTTATTGAAAAATTAAACTAAATAATAAGAACAGGGAAATGATCATGAACAGATACCTACTTCTAGTTAAAAATTTTTACTTATTTAAAGAAAGGGAAAATAAATCAAATCTACAATTTGGTCAAACTAAAGAAAACCTTGGCCGAAAAAATCTTGAACTGGTGTATTAAGAATGAATTTAAAATGTATTTGTGTGTTATGTTCTTGGTGTTTTTAATAAATTTAAAAAAAATCTATGTCGTTAAATATTTCATAATGCTATTATACTATATTATACAGACAGAGTTTGATTGTTTGAACGTGTTTATCTCAGGAACTACAGATCCTATTTGAAAAATTCTTTTCGCATTAGATAACCCGTTTATTGAGGAAGGCTACAGGATATACATCATCAAGCTACTACAAAAGGAAGCGGAGCAGTAATCATAAATGTCAACATATCGGGCAGACTTCCATACGTTATTGTTAATCTGATGTTTATATCGAAAGTTTAAACGGGGGCGAAGACGCGGGTACTGCTAGTTTATTAAATTAGTAAAGGTGCACCAGATAACAAATGATTAAGCAATACATTTAAATGTTAACAAGTTCGTTTTATGAATTTAAGGGATCAGTGAAATATCTGGCTTTGAAGATAGTTAATATTTGAATGAAATTGTATTAATGTTTTTCTAGCGTTTTCCTGCGGCTCCGCCCGCATAGTACATTAATCTCCAACATAATCATGTACTAAAACCTTCTGCGAAACACGCTGCATCTTATGGTATGCGTATTATTCCGATCGGTTCAGTAGTTATCGCAGTATAACCGAACAAAAAAATCGGCTCTCCTTTTACTAGTATAGATTGTCTATTTTTGTTTTTGTATTTAGGCGAAAAATGGATAAAGCAACATTTATTAGAATAAGAAAATATACTTTAAAAGGATCTTACTAAAATACCGGTAAATAAAATAAAATCCTGATATCACGATGTATAAATAATAGCATTGATGTATGTACCTCGTTATAAAATAAGAGCATAAGAAACCGAATAAACCGCTATAATGAATTAACCTTGCGTACGATATTTATTAAAGTACTAGTAATATTGACGACAATTTTAGTATCAATTTTAAAATTATAGTAATTATAAATGTATTTAGCCAACGATATTATGTACATCTCGAGTATTTATACGACTTCAACTTTATTAATTAAATAAATTCATCTCGTAGACATCGTAGCGCGTTTGTTTACACGTAGAATACGCATCAAGTCGTTGACCCGCAGCATACTCGTAGATGTTATGTATATTATTAAGTAGCGCAAAAGTTACAATATCATATACTTGCTAATTAGCATCTCACTACTCATGTACATATATTTTACATGCCTAGGTTATTAAAAATAATGATTAAACCATATAGAGAGAATGATGGATGACTTACCAGAGAACATGGGCATAGTGAGTTCTGGGTGAAGTTGGGAGAGTTGTCGGGACAGGTAGAGCTGCGAACGGCAGTATGTAGTACACAACAGGACGTCCAAGGTCCCGCGTCCTTTCTCTGACCCTATGTAACAAAAACATTTTATACGTTAGATTTCATTTCATTATTAGAATATTTACATCATAACAATTAAACATAATAATATTATATTCTAATTGTTATACATACATTACATATTATGTAAAGAGTGTCTCATATGTGTATGTGTAACAGTAAATACAACATAAAACCCAAAGTATCTTTTCTTTTATCAAGACTATTATAATAAAAACATGTATATAAATATATTAGTTAGATTGATAATATTATAAATTACTAGCAGAACCCGCGGCTTCGCTCGCGCTAAAACTACAAAAAAAACTCTATAATGATAGGTTTCATACAAACTTTCATCCGCTACTTTACCCCCTTATGGGATGAATTTCGAAAAATGCTAAAACATGTATTTATTTAATTTTATTGAACAGCACTAATACGCAGTTTCAAGTAATTCCGATCATAAATATTTTTTTGGATTGTATTATAACGTGTTTTCCCGTAGGAAAAAGATAATCTCCCGCGGCAAAAAATAGCCTAAGTCACTCTCTAGCCCTCTATCTCCACACAAAAAATCACGCCAATCCATTTCGACACGAAAGAAAGACAAACAAACACACATTCACATTTATAATTTTAATATGGATGTAAGTAGTCTGTGAAATAATTGAATGTTTGTTTAAGGCACATGACTAATGAGTGCTACATCATTTCTTGTCCATTAATTAAAAATTCGTAGTAATATCCAGACGATAAAGTTTTTATTGAGTTAAGTGAGTTGAAAACGACAGAAAAGAAAATTTCGATTAATGAACAGTGTGTATTCTACAATTCTCTAAGCTCATTTTGATTAAAACATTCATACATATTACAAGCTTTAAAAGAGGGGTGAAATCTATCTGTAATACATTAACAAACCATTTCAAAGTAATGTAAAAAATGTTTACGGTTGTCGTGTGTTGTCACGGGAGTCGGTCAGTCAGTCTCTCCCGACACCATGATTGCTGTAAAGCCTTCAAAACGTTGGGAACCAAAAATCAAAATAAATTCGCGAAAAAATCCGAAAAGATAGTTTTATTTAAAATGTCAAGTAGTCGCATAAATCTAAGAAAATATAATGTTTAGGATATAAAAATACTTGTCTTTATTATAATTTTTTTTTAATATTTAATTAAATTATTTTATTTTCATATTATTATATCAAAGTGCCGAGCTAGAGTTAACACCACTTGTTACTATAAAAAGCTTATGTCTCATATTTCAGCGGCAGTTACGTACCTATATTCAAAAACGATAATTATTAAGTAAATTAATTTTTAATGAGTTTGATTGTGGTGCAAATATAATGGCGTTACTGGATGAAATGTAAATAAGTAATTATTAATATTACACAGCTGTAAAAAGATAATTTTGTCAGAAAATTACTTTAAACCTAGTAACATTTATAAAGCGATATAGGAATACTCGTGGGTACATTTATGTATGAGTCTATAGAAAAACCAAAATGACTTGGTAATTTCAATGTAATAGGTACATACCTACTCATGTTCATAGTTTAACTGGAAAATTGGCTAATGATACATTAAAATTAATCTTATTGAGATATATTATATTTTGTCTATGGGATGAACTGAAATTTTCCTGATAAAAAGGAACGAAAAGCGCAGGGTCGGGCGGGCGGATAAGGATGCACCGGCGGCAGGGAGAGGCGGCTTCCCGCGCACAGGAGCAGGCCGCATATATAGCGGAGCCGACGTCCCTGCAGCGTCAGTATTCGGCGGGAAGGCGCGGCAGACGCGCGTCGTACAATGTCGCCTATCATTTTCCCCGGGACCGACGTAAACTTTGAAATAACAACCGAAACTCCTAACATTGACGCGAACCAAACTCAGTTTGATATTTGGGCTATGCAAGTCGTTAGCGATCTCTACTTGTACTATACTCCGCTACTGGTCTGTCTTGGGTCTATCGGGAACCTGGTCTCCGTGTTCGTCTTCTACAGCAGCAAGTTGAGGCTACAGTCGACGAGCCAGTATCTCTCTGCCTTGGCCATTTCCGATACGATTTTTCTTTTACAGTTGTTACCGCCGTGGTTGAGCGCCGCGCAGGTTACCAGCTTGTTCTACACAGGTGGTTTCTGCCAAGTTTTCGTTTATGTATCGTACGTCAGTTGTTGTTTGAGCGCTTGGTTAGTCGTAGCTTTCACGGTCGAGCGTTTTGTGGCGGTGGTTTATCCACTTCGTAGGAATGCTATGTGCACGCTGGCGAGGGCCCGGCATGTTATTATAAGTCTTACCATAAGCGCGATCGTTCTCAATCTCCCCGTGCTACGCTTCGCACTCCCTACTCGCGATGACTGTAACATAGATAGGGAGTATTTAGAGCACGCGGCGAGATTTAATTTGGTGGATACAGTGTTGTCATTCACAATCCCGTTGGGGATGATCATAGTTTTGAATACATGGATCATGCTCGGCGTGTGTCGTTTAGAAAGAACCCGCAACCAACTTATGAAGACGGAGCAACCTCAATTGAACCAACGGGCGCGATGCACTCGGTTGCAGGGGTGTCCTCGTTCTCAACAAAAAGTTACTAGAATGCTGTTGATCGTATCGTCCGTGTTCGTCATACTTAATTTACCAGCGTACACTATCCGTGTCTTGGCGTACGCCTACGATGTGGTAAGTAGCTGAGCGAATTTTACGAACTAGTGAATGAATTATTTTGTATTTACATGTAGGTTGGACATTTTATTAATTTTATAGGTTTTAAAAATTTTCATGTAATTTGACTTTGTCATAGTAAATACAAAATGTTTCATACTCTTAAATTATTGTGCAATAAAGCGATTTTTATTTCACTATTGTTATGCGGTTACATGTACTATTGAAAACTATTGTCTTCATCCTTACGATATGCAAATACTACAAATTTCATTATAATATATGCGCGTACTATTAAATACTAAAATGTGCATTAGAACCATAATAACATATATGTATATACTTCAATAGCCTTTGTCTAGGTGGTTGCTTAGCTTATTTCTTCAATATATATATATATTTCTTTTAATTATTGTTTTCTCTTCTACAATTTAATGACATACATGCAAGGCAGACTATTGTTGATCTAAATGAAGGGATAACTAACTGCGCGTTTATATTCTATTAACAATAATTATTTTTATGCACCAATTTTTATGTACTAAAGCCTGTTTAAATTTCACGATGCTGGTAATAGGTAGTAATAAATATCTAAAATTGGTTTTACTGTTGCAAATGTTTTGAAGCTTGTTATTTATACAGTTTATGTATGACAAAAATGTATTTATTATTAATTCGTGGTTTCGCTGTGGATATTAAATACATCTATTCTATTTACATAGCTTGCTTGCATACTTGCAATTTATAAACTCCACTCTGTATGAGGTCGCATATAACAGTGATAAAGCTTTGGATTTCTTTAAAATGGAATTAGAGCGCGACTAATTTAAACAGATCATTTTTTTATTTTTTTAAATAAAAAGTATATAAGTATAAGTAGATGCGATTTACAAGGATAGACCGCTTTAGCGTTGCATTATAGCGAAAGTGTGAATTATAATAATAATATTAGTAGAGTTAGACTTTATGATAAATAAATAAATAAATAAATACTTAAATACATAAATGATAGACATGGTCAGTCACCTATGAATAATATTAATAATAATTTATACAAATAAATAAAATTGAAGTGTCTGTTTGTAATGTCAAAATAATAGGTTTTTACTAAATGCATATGAAATAATGTACGTTACTTATAAGAAAAATATATTCATACAAATAAACAAGCCCAACTGCGTAAAAAGCCAACTAAAAAGAAGAGAACAAGTTGAAGAAGGAACATAGTGATTGCAGTCGGAGACATGCACACAATCAGCTCTTGTAAAATATGTACATATGTATATGTATAAATCATCAAAATCGGTTATGCCGGTTTATAATTACGAAGGAACGTAAGACCGGACATGCATAAATACATACACACATATATACATACGTACATACATACTGGTCAAGCACATAATCATCCTTTAGGATTCGCCGCAGTCGGGTAAAATACAAAAATTTTAAAGTTTTTGTCTATCTCTCTGTTTCGTTCTGGCTAATTAATATTTACTACGTAGATAAATCATTTATAATTTTAGATATTTTCTATCTTACAAGAAGGCAGGTGACAAGCTGAACTAGATATCTTAGATTGAAATGAAAAAAATAGTAATATAATGGATAGAAAAAAATATATTAGTCAACAAAAACAGGAGGGCCAGCTCATCTTTCGATCTAATTAGAACATTTATTCTTAATTTCAGGAGTTTTTTTCTACATTTTTAAGTTTTAATTTTGTATAATTTTTTTTTAGTCTATAACCTTAGTCTCTTCTTGTGACAATGATTGATGTAAAGCAACCGAAACATTGGGATCCAAAAGTCAAAATAAATCCACGAAAAAATTCGAAATGATAGTTTTATTAATAATGTCGAATATTTGCTTATATCTACGAAAGCAATTGAGTCTCTTCACCAATAAAGAAAAATTAGTTCAATAAATGTCAATAGATGATGTTCCATATTTCGATTTGTTATTAAAGTTGCGTTAAATTGACAAAAGATAAAAAATAGATCCCAAAAAGATGTATTATTGATTAAAAAAATCTTCTAAGTGAAGAAAATCAGCAATGAGATGATGGGTTTGTAAAGATGGCACTTTTACTTTTATATAAATGTTTAACACTTTTAAAAATGGTTAAAATCACAGATTTTTATTTATTCGAATACAGGATGATTACAATGTTTACCATACTTAGTTTCCACATATTTATAAAATAAAACAGTTTAACTATTTGCGAATCAACGACAACTATTATCTATTCAAGCAAACAAAAATAGCCTAAAGAATAGTCCTCCAAAATAGCGCTGTCAAATTTCTTTGTATGGGATGAAGTGTCTGTACTAGTTTAGTATTATGTTATATGTGATGAAAGTATTCTTCAGTATTATTTAAAAATTAATTTAACTAAATAACTATATTTCGCTAGTAGAATTCACTCGTTTTCCCGCAAATTTAGGTACCTAAAACTACAAAATCTTCGCAGCATACATTAAATTTATTTTGTTATAATAATTAATAATTTAAATAATTAATATTTCTTTTTATTTAAAACGAATGATAATTTGTAAACATATTTATTTATCTAGATATTTATTATTAAATCATATGATTTGGTAGAATGTTGGCAAACAGAGCGCTGAAGCCTGAATGCTGGTAGTACTTTCCGTTGGACAATTTTACACAATTTTGAAGTATCAATTCGATAAGTATTAAATATAAAAGAAATTGTTTAAATAATTGTCTAAATAATAAACATTCTTTAGATTTTCACTTTACGATGTTATGACGAAGTTACGAGATCGAATGAGCGCTTTAACTTTCGATAGTGACTGATTGCTATATCACGGGCTTCTGGAAACCCTAAAGAGTAATGTCGTCATTGGATACGTTTGAAAATAGTATTAACTAATAATAGTATTTAAATATGTAAACTATATTTATATAAATAGTATAATTTATATCCTAGTATCAAGATCGATTAATAAGTGAAATGATATTAAATTTTAATTTTTCGTGATTTGTATATTTATACTTTTATACGGCATTGCTACCGCGATGGAACTCGTATTCCTTAATTACTCGTATTTTTATTGTGTCCATATTCAAGAAAAAACACAAAAGTAGTAAAAACAAAACACTAATCAATAAACAAATGACTGAATTTTAAAATAGAACTCCATACTTTTAAAAGAAAAATTCATTTAAATTAAAAAAAAATGCCGGCCATTCATAAATTACGTTTCAAATGGCCAGTATTGTAAATTGGAAACTTCACAGGTAAAGACATAATATTATAAAGACGTAGAGTTTGTTTATTTGAACGCGCTAATCTCAGGAACTACTAAGCCGATTTGAAAATTATTTTTGCATTAGAAAACCTGTTTATAGAGGAAGCCTATATTACACGTATAGGAAGGCTATATATCACGTAGGATGACATGAATTTTTCTGAGGATCGATTTTTTTTTACTAATCTGACGGGCTGCCCCCAACGCACTCCCCTATATTAAGGGTTCATATGTGGTAGAGGTACATTGCAGGGTGTAAGGTTTCTTTTCCCCATATAGCCTGAGAGCTCGTGACGAATTTTGGGAAGGTCCTTTTGGCAAGTTGAAATTGTGAAAAAATATAATTTCGTAAATTGGCGAGCCCAGTCTCGCGAGTCTGGTATAGCTTTAGCGGTTATTTCGCTACTGCGCAGTATACAACATTTGCAAAAAATATATCCAAAAAAACATATTTTTGGCAACTTGATTTTTGTGTAATCCTTTAATTTAGCTTTCATATAATTCAAAAAAAAGAACCCTAGACGTTTTTTCGGTTATAAAGAATTGCCAGACCTCTCCAAAGACTCATTTTTTTATTCCAAAAAACATACTTTTGGCAATCTGAAATTTTAATCACGTATTTATTGAGTAATTTTCAATAATATTTGCAAATCGCCAGACGAATTTAGCGGTTTTAAACCCTTCCCAGGCGTAAATAAAGCTTACAAATTAGTACTACAAAAAAGTCTTTTTAGGTGTAAGAAAGATAGCTTATCGAAGTATGCCAGCAGCTGATGGGGGCCCAAGGTCCTCGCGCTGTGATTGGTTATCGAGAAACCGCACGTTTCGAACTTATGGTTCGGGCTCGGCGTTCACAACAAAGTGTTTTACAGTAGTTTATTAGAGTTCCGTGCCCAAAGGCTAACACGGGACTCTATTACTAAGACTCCGCTGTCCGTCCGTTTATCTATCCGTCTGTGACCAGGCTGTATCTCATGAACCGTGATAGTTAAACAGTTGAAATTTTCACAGATGATGTATTTTTGTTGCCGCTATAACAACAAATACAAAACAATAGAATAATATAAATATTTATGGGGGGTCCCATACAACATACGTGATATTTTTTCTATTTTTATAGATAATGGTACGAAACCCTTTATGCGTGAGTCCGACTCGCACTTGGCAAGTTTTTATTTTTTTTCTTAAAATTGAGAATTAATAAAAAATGTATAAAACAATAATTACGCTTGCACAATACCTACACAATACAATTGGCAAATATATTTTTGGATGGAACTCGATTATTGTTTAATCTTTTAAATTAGGACTCGCGCATGAAGGGTTTCGTACCATTATCTATAAAAATAGCATAACTACTTTTTTATTTGTACGTTTAACGCCAGTTACGATCGCGAATTCACATAAGTTAATAAAACTGTGTTTTGGCTGAATATATTTCAAATACTTTTAAAAATCTGTACTGACAACTATTTTTAGCTGCGATAAGGAGTATTGGAAATGAGCAATGGATCCTTCCAACGAATTATAAATAAGCAATATATGTACAAATTCTAGTATATTGATTATTTTATTATATTTTGTAAAATAACTCTATTAATAAAAAAAAAGATAAACATTCGAATGAATACTCGGTTTCGTAAATGAAATATGTATAATCAAAAGGTAAGCATTGGTAGCTTGCGTAATAACATACTTTGATTATGGTCTGATGATGCATTCATTATTTTGATGGAGTAATATTTTTAA